ACTAAAAAGATATTTTACAATACACTTTATACATTCATATACTTAAGGGTAAACCAAGACAACCGTTACAAGGTACAATTAGTCAAAATATAACGCTAAGCCTTGCGCAAAGTTTTGTGAAAATATTTACATACATATGTCGACGTGCGTATGTATATATTCCAACATACACTGGTTATTTCAATATCACTACACACATTGCATAAACCTAATCTAATACTTTGTACAAAATACAATGTAAAACCTGTACTCATTCGCGTACCCATATCGAACGGAGTATGTTTTGAAACAAAATCAGTAACGCAAATCTCGTATTTTTGGCAACTGAATAGGCCAAAAAAAAATGTACTTTGTACAGAATTAGAAACTTCCCACGGTATCACAACACTATCAAACAGTTGAAGGTAATTACAAATACCAATACAATTCAATACAAACAATATAAAAACAAAATACACAGTTTAATTTATATAAGTGAGAAGTTTTTGCGGTTTGGCTGCTTAATAATAAACAAGTAAGAGGATATAGACGGGAGCTCCCGACTAGGGGATACCCTGAACCCTCTTCTTCCAACATCAAGTGCATATATATATTCTATTTTAGAAGCTCTTATTATTTACAAAAATTGCCCAAAAAACAGGATATCGATATCGATTTTTATCGATTGCTTGGAAACGAAGTAAGTTATCGATTATCGGAAACAATCTCGATCTGCGCAGGAACTAGGAGCATCTACATCTAAAATTTCTCTAGCTCTTATAGGTTCTGAGATCCTTGCGTTCATGCATACGGAAGGACGGACGGACGGACAGACAGACGGACATGGCTAGATCGACTCGGCTATTGATGCTGATGCTGCTGCTGAGAATATATATACTTTATGGGGTCGGAGATGCTTCCTTCTGCCTGTTACATACATTTGGATTTTGCACAAATACAATATACCCTTATACCGATTTTTAATGGGTTCAGGGTATAAAAGTCAATTAAAGAAATTAAATTAGGTCGGCTTAAAAGATTTTGATTTTCTACCGAACCAACGTAAGTACACATCAAGCATATGTGAATACAAATTTGCATTAGATAATCGTAGGCGCGGAAAACTAACAACATTAGTTTCTTCGGCAGTAAAAGCCACTGCAGAGAATAGCAACACCTACAAATATGCTTTGGTGTAGGTATAGACTTACATATATGTATACATACATATGCAAATATAATTGCCTGCTCGCCCCTCAGAGAGCCGCAGCTGAGAGTACATTTCAATTTTAGCGTTTTTGCTCTTTCAGCTGTAGGAGCACTAGGGTACTAATTTCGTTTGCGTTCTCAATTTTGTAAGAATCAAGCTGCATAGTAGCATTTTGTTGTATTGCGTTACTCATCTTAGTATTTATATTGTCTTTTCTTATATACACGCAAATAAAAATTATCCCAAGTAATTGACTCGAGTCGGCAGTGCCTGACTGGAAAATACCCTGAACGTTCTTCTACCAACACCGATTGAAAATCGCGCTACGAGCTCGTTTACCAAGCAGTCATAAAAAGTAAATTTAAACGAGAAAGAAAGGCTATCTTCGCAATGCCGAAGATCTAATACCCTTGCAGACCCAACCTTTTCATAATGCTTGTAGTGATTTGCCCGTATCTAAGAAGCACAGGGTAAATAGTTAATGCCGAGTTTGGGCAAGATATCTTAAAAAACAAAAAAGGTTTTTAATCAAAAACCTAGTTCTCGACCGATCGTTCCTGTGGCAGCTATATGTCCGATCTTAATATGATTTTGCCTATATATGAGGAGTATAGTAAAACACATTAATGCCGAGTTGGGTCAAGATATCTTGATAAAACAAATTTTTTTTAATACAAAAACTTAATTTCCGATGCAGCTGGTTTTGACATATGTGCTGCGTGCAACAGAAAGAGGGAGTTCTGCAAAGTTTCTTTAAGATAGCTTTAAAACTGAGGGACTAGTTCGCATAGAAACAGACAGACGGACATACGGACATGGCTATATCGACTCGGCTGATCGCAATTGCAATTCTTTTAATATAATTCAATAAAGACGCGCATGAATGTGTGGGTGGCGTGGAGGATCTGGAATAGCTATAAAATATTTGATTTGTATATACCATTCGAAAAGCTTTATGTCAAATTTGGAGACAAAGTTTATGACCTAAGAAAACAAACTCGTGCTGTGCGGGCTTCAGGAGGACTTGCCGTCATAATTTCAAGTCTATAATTTAGGGTTCTAAGATCGACGCGTTCATACATACGGACAGACGGACAGATATACATGGCTGGCTCGACTCGGCTATTAATGCTGATAAAATTTCTAGCGCAACCGATCTAAGTGAGCTTTGCCTTAAGTATTTTAAATGTCTTTTCAGATTTCTTATATATTTATCGAAAGTTTTGCAATTGTTTAAGCACCAATAAACATTATTTAATTTTTGTGTTCTTGAGCACATTTAACGGCATACATTACTAAACAAGTAAGAGGTTCTAGTCGGGAGCTCCCGACTAGGGGATACCCTGAACCCTCTTATTCCAACACAGCATAAAAAAAAGTTCCCTTGGCAGGGCTCGAACTCGCGAAAGACCGCACCACTTGCTATGCCTCTACTCAACAGCCACACCAACAATTAACTACTTATGATAAAAAAGGAACTTAAATAACATAACAAAAAAAAGATGCAATTACCATGAGATTACGCTATTAGAATGCGAAGCAGTCGCACATGAATGTGTGTGTGTACATGTATACAGAAATTTTTTAAAGCTGCTGCCCCATTCAATTGCGCAGTTGCATATAAGTTTGGTTTTTCTTAACCGATCTTTATGAAATTTTCTACAGTATATCTTCTTGTACCATAGAATATTTGTGTATTCTGAAAAAGTCAATTGCATTTCAATTGTGGTTTAAATTGGTTGGCAATAAAAGTTGGGTTATTAACTTGATTTATAGCTCTGGGGTGGTAGCGGGGAAGTGGCGATAGGTATGAAATGAAAGATACTTGAAATATCTATAATATTCTAGAAGCAACATATCATGTTTAGTGGCTCTAGCTTTTATTATTTACCAAAATTGCTCAAAAAAACAGGATGTCGATATTGATTTGTATCGATTGCTTGAAAACGGAGTAAGTTATCGATTATCGGAAACAAACTCAATCTGCGCGGGAACTAGGAGCATCTACATATAAAATTTCAGTCTCTAGCTCTTATAGGTTCTGAGATCCTTGCGTTCATACGGACGGACGGACGGACGGACAGACAGACAGACGGACATGGCTAGATCAACTCGGCTATTGATGCTGATCAAGAATATATATACTTTATGGGGTCGGAGATGCTTCCTTCTGCCTGTTACATACATTTGGCTTTTGCACAAATACAATATACCCTTATACCCATTTTTAATGGGTTCAGGGTAAAAAAAAATATTTGTTGTCCTTGTATTTGCCTAGTTATACCCTTGCAGCAGCAACAGCCGAGTCGATTTAGCCATGTCCGTCTGTCCGTCTGTCTGAATCTATGGGAACTAGTCTCTTAGTTTTAAAGCTATCTTAACGAAACTTTGCAGAAGTCCCCTTTTCTGTTGCACGCAGCACATATGTCAAGACCAGCTGGATCTGACCACTATATTATGCCATAGGAACGATCGGTCAAAAATTAAGTTGTGTGAAAAACCATTTTGTTTATCAAGATATCTTGACCAAACTAGGCATTAACTATTTTCCCTGTGCTTCTTAGATACGGGCAAAGCACTATAATCATTATGAAAAGGTTGGGTCTGCAAGGGTATTAGATCTTCGGCGTGCCGAAGATAGACTTTCGTTCTCGTTTTTCTTTTAATAATGTCTCCGTCATCCGCTTCTGTTCCGTATAAGCTCGAAAAATAATTCCATTTCATGTGCACATGGATCCGAATTCTTATTTATTTATTTATTTATTATTTATTATATGGAACACAGCTATAAATCAAATAAATATGTACAAATATGTATGTAAATCAATTGAAATTACCCAGCAATTTCAAAAACAATTTTTATGTGTCTTTTGAGAATATTAGGATATCCTAGAGCACAATTAAATATACTGTATAAAGTCTCATCAAGGTAGGTTAAGAAACACAGATGTTATTAAATAAACCAATTATATTGGCAGGCCACGTGCTTGCGACAAGAATTGCAAGAATTTCTGCATATGCATATACATGTGCACACATACACACTTGCATACGCACAAATATAATTGGCTGTGAGGTATGAGGCGAGGGCAAGGTTGAATGAAGTTGCGACTTCGAATCGGGTGCAGGAAAGTGTGTGTTTTAATGATAGAGCATTCTTACTTAGCAGCTTTTATTCATCTAAATGAAATAAAGAAACTTAAGACAAACAGATGGCACATAAAATAATATTTTATTTAGTAGATAAATTCGTTCTTTATATTATTAACATTTTTCGTCTCGGTTGACATTTCTGTGGAAATGCCAATATTATACCTAAAATAATCGGATGCTTAATCGGTTAGGCTTAACTAAACTGAATATTTTCAGCTGTTAGATTTTGTAACTAACATAAAACTAACATCACAATTGAAACCGTAATAAAAATGGGTATTTTCAGCTTTCAAGTGTGAGCTATGCAATAGTTACATAAAATCAGACAAAGACTGTGGCTATAGCAAAAGGCCAAACTAAAAACATGTTTTGTTTACTCTATACATTTTCACATGCTCAACAGAAAAAAAAATTAACAAACACTGAGGCACTCAAAAGTATTTGCGGTTTGTAAGCGAAACCGAAGGTAGCTCTACAGCTTCAGGTGGCCACTGATTGTCCGTCTCTTTTCCACCTGCAATGTTCCGACGAGCGTTGTTGTGATTGTGCTCTGAGACAAGAAGGCATAAGACAACAACGAAGCTCTTTGTCAGCGAAACTAATAAAAAACCGAGCTTACAAACTGTTCTCATAACCAGTTCCAAGCGAATGCTCGTGCGGTGGAGACGTTGAAATATATTACTGGAAACACGCCAGTCGACGATTACTTAGCACAACTCATACGCAAAAATATATAACAAAAGATAAAGTGAGTTTTATTCTTAAGTAATAATGCCCTAAAAATGAATTAACCGTGATTTAGATTTGTAAAGAGAACAGTAAAATTAAAAAGTTCTGACCATTTGAGAGCATCATAAAATGTAATACCAAAAGCAAATAGTAAAACAAAAACAATTATTAACTACAAAAGAGCGATAGACTGAATACAATCACAACAAACAAATATAAAACTATTATATTTGTCAAAAGAAAAGGACAAACTTAAAGCATTACATAAGTTGATGCGAGTTAGTTTGTGATAATTTCTAATAATTATGCATATTACAGTTTTAAGGCTGACTCAATAAACACGCAAAAGCAAGCTCAAAATTTAACAAAAAAAAACTTGACAAAATAAAACAGGTGTATGTGCGGTACTCAGTTTTAGTTTAATAACAACTGAATACTACTTGGAAAGAGCGTTGTTGATTACCTTGTGGAGCTGACGTACATACATATAAAATTGTTTTTTATACCCTTGCTTAGGGTATTATAATTTTGTCGTGAAATGTGTAGCGCATAGAAGGAGACATCTCCGAACCCATAAAGTATATATATTCTTGATCAGCATCAACAGCCGAGTCAATATAGCCATGTCCGTCTGTCCGTCTGTCCGTCGGTCTGTTTCTATGCGAACTAGTCTCTTAGTTTGAAAGCTATTTTAATGAAACTTTGCAGAACTCCCTCTTTCTGTTGCACGCAGCACATATGTCAAAACCAGCTGGATCGGGCCACTATATCATACAGCTGCCATAGGAACGATCGGTCGAAAATAAGGTTTTTGTATAAAAAAAAAAACATTTAGTTGATCAAGATATCTTGACCAGACTCGGCATTTATTAGTTTTACTATATATATGCAAAATCCTATTAAGATCGGACCACGATATCATATAGCTGCCATAGGAACGACCGGTGGACAATTAAGTTATTGTATGCACAAATTTTTTGTTTTTAACGATATATTGACCAAACTCGGTATTTATTAGTTATACTATGCTCTTCATATAAATACAAAATCCTATCAACATCGGACTACTATATCATATAACTGCAATAAGAGCGATCGGTCGAAAACCAGGTTTTTGATTAAAAACCTTTTTTGGTTATCAAGATATCTTGACCAAACCCGGCATTTACTATTTTCCCGGTACTTCTTAGATACGAGCAAAGCACTATGAGCATTATGAAAAGGTTGGGTCTGCAAGGGTGTTATATCTTCGGCATGCCGAAGATAGTCCTTCTTTCTCGTTTTGATTTGCGGTAGGATGGAAAAATGTATATTCAACACATTAGGACGCAGTTTTTTATGGGAATAGGGCTGAACCGTGATTACAAGTGCAACGAAATAAATGTGAGAAATATTATTTCTATACAGCTGTAGGACTCTTTAAGAAAGGGTCGAGAATTCATCAAATGGGAAAACTTACTACTGAAAAGACTCAAGGCCGAAAAGAAACGTTTAAGCTTTAATACCCTTTGCTAGGTAAAATAAGTATAATTGCATATTAAAATGTTTTACTAATATCATTGTAGAATCCGAATAAATTGTTGCCTCCACAGTGGAATCAAAAAATCGCGCTTTGGAACTAAGTGCAATAAAAACTTGTTTATTGGTAACCAGTACAGATAATAGGCCGCCAAAATTGGTTACTTAACGAAAACTTCGTTTGTGATAACGGAAGGCAACAGAGTAAGTATTGAGGAAATATACTTGAATCTATTGATTTAAATAAAAAATGCATTTTCATTAAATTTTACTTTTTATACTCTGTAAGGTATCTTGATTAGGATGTTGTGCTGAGTCGATTTAGCAATGTCTATATGTCTGTTCCGCCGTCTGTCCGTTAATATAAACCTGTTGAGCACCAAATGATTTTACAACTTGGTGCTTTAAGCATAGTTCAAAAACTATAAAAGTTAAGGACACTAAAATATGCTCCCCTACAATATATACACAAATGGCCATTTCACTTATTGAATATTGGAGTATAAGCATTCTGGAACTCATTTAGGACTATATTTAATGATTTAAGGAATTCAAACCGAAGTGATAAAAACCAAAATATATTAGTACAGAGGATTTTGTAATCAAGCATACCGACACAGTGTTCTTATTATAGTCTTGCAGAGGCTATTATCAATTTGTCGTGAAATGTGTAACACATAGAAGGAGACATCTCCGACCCCATAAAGTATGTATATTCTTGATCAGTATTAACAGCCGAGTCGATATAGCCATATTCGTCTGTCCGTCTGTCTGTTTCTATGTGAACTAGTCTCTCTGTTTTAAAGCTAGCTTTATGAAACTTTGCAGTAGTCCCTCTTTCTCTTGCACACAGCACATATGTCAAATCCAGTTGGATCGGACCTTCATATCATATAGCTGCCATAGGAACGATCGGTCGAAAATTAAGTTGTTATATGTAAAAACATTTTGTTTTTCAAGATATCTTGACCAAACTCGGCATTTATTAGTTTTACTATGCTCCTCATATATATGCAAAGTCCTATTGAGATCGGACCACTATATCATATAGCTGCCATAGGAACGATCGATTTGATCCTGAGAAAAATGTGAAACAGGTCTCAAATGATTTTGAGCAAGGATCATTGAAAATGAGTTTGAGGCCGTTTTTCGCTAATTAACCACTGTTGTGCGTGGAATTTTCCAAATCGCTAAAACATGTATTCATTAAGTTCTTATGTAGAGCTCTGAAAATAAGTTTGAGGTAAATCGGAAAAAACTTACAATTGCTCCAAAAAAATCTTAGAATCGCATTTCTACCGAAGATGCTTTGATCCTGCGAAAAATGATTTTCCTGTATCAAATGATTTTCCATATAGATCCTTGAAAATGAATTTGAGTGCGAAACGTTATCCACCAAATCTGTTTGACCCCCATTTCCACCAAGGAGGAATACATTTTTGGAAAATTGTGAAACACCCCTCAAACGAATCGGATGGTACGCTTAAAAGTTTCATACAAACGTTTTCGCGATTTTTTCATACTTGCGGGTGGAATTTGCCGAAACCCCGTCTTTACCCGAACCTTCACCACATAAGGTAACTACAGTGCAAATTTCAGGTTTCTACCTCTTACGGTTTGGGCTGTGCGCTAATCACCAATCAGTCAGTCAGTCAGGACAAACAGTTTTATATATAGGGATATATTATAATCCATGGGTTTTTCGACATTTAGTTAATGTACATAGTCAACATTTATAAGTAAAATTAACCAAAAGGACAAATTATTAGAAACAAATTTAATCAATTTTGAATCATAGTGCACTCTATTTCTAATAAAGGTCCATGATTTTTGTGGGTATTAGAACGACCTACGTTAAAAAGTTCGCATGTGTAGCAGCGGATAAATTGCTCAAATCTTTTAAGCTCTGTTTTAGTGCTTGGTTTAATTTGGTATTCATTTATAAGCTTGTAGCTTACTTCTTTACAGTAAAAAAAGCACTGTTCGTTGACAATATGATTTTTTTCCGGTAACTTGGACCTGCATACATGGTATCTTCTGCTTTTAAAACGTTGGTGTCACTCTGATACCGATAAAACGCATATGTGCTCATAAGTTTAATAAAATAATTGCGAAGCCACTAACAACAACACCAAAGCTGGTGGTAAATGTGGTTCATTGTTATTGCACTTTCTACTCAGATGCGAATGTTGGTTGAAAGCGTTAATAATTCAGAGAATGTACATTATTCGTATAGCTAACATTGGAAAAGTATAACTGTGGCTTAGCTCCCTTAAATAATGCATTGCTCTCATTAACTCTTAATATTATTTTCTCTTCCACCAGGACGAGGACATGGGATTTAGTTCGCGCATGGACTGCTGTGGGCAGTTTGTTAAATACAGTCTGTTCATAGCGAACTTTGTGATGTTCGTAAGTTAATCTCTTCAGAGATCAAGATTTATTGATTTTTATATTGTTTTCTAAGGTGGGCGGAGCAATTGTCTTCAGTCTGACCCTCTGGACTCTGGTTGATCGCAGCTTTGTTAATGAATTACTGGGTACCAATCTTTTCTCTGGCGCTGTCTACGTTCTGTTGGTCACATCTGTCATTATATGTTTGGTCTCGTTCCTTGGCTGTGTTGGCGCTGGGAAGGAGGTCAAGTGCTTGCTCTTAACGGTAAGTTGTTAAGCAATTGTGTTCATATGAAAATTATTTAATCTCAATAAGTATAGTTCTTTTGAATACATTTTCTATAAAGTGGATCGAGGAGAAAGGCATTACTTAAACCGCACAGTTGGTGGTGTGTTCGATTATAAGTGTTTGGGTAGTGCGAATCTAGGTTACTTACTTTCCTAAGTCGGTATAAGGTATCTTCCTTCGCTCTTGAAACACCACACCAACGACTGGGGTTTCACTCTCCGAAATGCACTTGAACGACTTTGGAACTCGTAGTTTATTTCTGATTATAATTGTTATTTTTGCTCATACGAGCAATAATGTCAGTCGCCGATGAGCACGTACCAAAGCTGGTCGGCTTGATATCGAAGTACATTAAATGATCCTTCGATAAAACGATAATGTGCGAACATTTCTAGTTTTTCACATTTTTATTCTGTGCTAAATCTAAACAAAATCATATTATCTAATGGTTTTAGGTTTATGCAAATGTAGAACATTTGCAACAATAAGTATTAGTTGGCTAGGCCAAGTCGATTTGGCCATGTCTTTCTGCCTTTTCCTGCGTTTGTATGAACGCGTTAATAACAGCAAAGCAAGGCTCTTGAAATATTTCAGGTACTTCCCCTGCATTTGATGGGTTTGCTTCAAATCATCAATAAATTGAGGCCATGTAATCAATAAAAATCGATATCGAAACCCTGGTTTATGCGAATATTTCGTATGTCTCAAGAGCTTGAGGCATTCAACTTGACATGAAGCTTCTCGTATTCTCAGTATACACGGATCAAGTAGATTTTTTTTATTAAATTTTTTTTTTCTAAATACCTATCAGCCAATATAATATTTTGGCTTAAAGTACAACGCTTTGCTTTCTTCTAATCGTCAAATAAAGCCCAATGTGATTTATAGAATGTTTATGCAGGTACCTATAGATAATATTTAGAAGACCACACAGTATTCATCTTGGTCTTTTGCTATACTATTGGAAATGTAATGTCAAACAACTTCAATGTTTCTTGTGTAATCTTCATGAGTATGATGTCATAAATATGACATTTATAATCTTTATTTTTCAATACTCGTTTTCTATTTTCTATTAATTGTATGAGTCGGCGTCACCACCTGTTCTCATCTTCTTTTTCTCTAGATATAGATATGTATAATATTGTATTAAATTTATACTTTACAACACTAGATGTAGTGGCTGTTGACTTTTAAAAGTTAACATTATGTTCACTGTTTACACATTTTAATGTATGTATTTACCAAATCACAAGGTTTTAGCTTCAATACATTTTGTTAAATTTAAGGATGAAAGTAAAAAAAATTCCCAATCGGGGTATACTGTGTGAGAGCCTACATACTAAATTTAATGTTTTTAGCTCTTATAGTTTAAGAATTATGCTCTATATCTAAAGTCTCAAAAGCGGTTCTATCGATATTTTAAAAATGTGAAGAGATATTGACAAAAAATATCAAATACCTCCTTTTGCGTATTGCATAGGACAATATATATTTCAAATTTCATTATTTCTTGTAACTTCCGTTTAAACATTCGGACAGATGGACATTGCTAAATCGATGGGGTCGGACATGCCGCATTCTGACTGTCTCACACATTTGCACAAAACAAAATATAGTCTTTTTTACCCATTTTTGTTGGGTACAGGGTCTAAAAATGCGTCGGCAAATTTTTTTAGCCGCGAATACTTAGTAACTATTTGCTATTTTCCCTCAAATCCAAGTGGTTAACAGATTTGTATATGCCATCTTTAGTATTTCATCATCGTTGCTTTGGTTTTCGTGACCATGCTAATTGGTGGCGTTTTGGGTTACGTATTTCGTGAGCGAGTGCAGCAAACAATGCGCCAGGTAAAAGACTTAAATTTAACATAAAATGATGTGATTTCCAGAATAACTATTTATTCATCTAGGAAATGCGATCGACAATGGCGTTGTATGGCAGTCGACGTGAGATTACACAGGCTTGGGATTTAACCCAGGAGCGCTTGCAGTGCTGCGGCGTAGATACCTGGCACGACTGGAATCGATATGGACCCGTGCCGGAGTCATGCTGTCAGGAACTTTTTGGCGGACAACGCAAGGAATGCACTATCTTTCCGACTATCACGAATCTTTATAATCAAGGTTGCCTATATGTGGCGACAAACTTTATAAGAGATCATGCGGCAGTAATTGGAGGCACATCCATAGCGGTGGCTATACTCATGGTATACACTATTGATTGGTTTTCCTTACAGCTTTTTTAAATAATTTTCCTTACAGATATTTGGCATGATTTTCTCTTGTCTGTTATTTAACATGATTGAATAGCCTAACTTTAGAAAGGATGGCAAGGGCAACCCCATTCATAAATGTATTGCATAATGTAAACTTAAAGTATTATCCAAGTGTATGCTATATAAGACCTGTTACGCAAAAGTCGTTGCTTTTGTACTATGTTTATCTGATATTCCGAATTAAGTGTATACTATCTTAATGTATGCTAAGTGGCTTGTCAATTTTTTGTGCCTGTTATCTGTTACATAATATTGTACCAACATTGTTATATTTTGTTATGATTTAAGTCCCAAAAATATAAACGACAAAAAGTGATTCAGTTATTAACTATTGGTATTGCTTATGAAGACTTAAAGAGATTACCTATTATTTGTTGTCATATTTCATTTTCTATATTTATAATTATATATTGTAAGCTGCTTTGTTTTTAAAACAGACTTCAGTCTTCAGTTATGATCACGGAGTAATTTTTTGATGCCAAAATCATATGTCACATTGGTAATTTGGTGTGCTTATTTATAGTACTTATACTTATTATAATATTGGTTGGCTTAACTAACTAGTACATGCTAAAATTGCTAATTTTTATTACTTATATTTTTTAATTTTTATATTTGACTGACATCACTATACAAATCGAACACGATCTTTGAACTAACAGTCACAATTTCAATTATAATAATTATACGAGGTCTGTGTCGTGCTAGCTCTATTGCGCTTCAAAAAGGTAATTGCGTCATCTGATAGTTATCTACATTCGCTATTCACCTTGATGAGTCTTAATATTTGGATGTAAGCTTTTAATTGACTCGAATTGCTTTATAATCAGTGTTACCACATAAGAGCCCTCTGTTTTTTCGATAAAATATTGCAGTGTTCAATCGTGTCTGAGCAGTGTAATCTTCTGTTTTTTTCTTAAGGAATTTTAATCTTTTTCAAAAAAATGTTATTTTAGATTAGTCTATTTTTCAGACACATCGTCAGTTCGTCTATTATTATTCCTCGGTAAACAACTCCAAACAATAACAGACAGCATACTCGATACCAAATATAACCGACCTGATTAAATAAAGGGCAATAGGCATAGGCGTAAGCTCACGGTTAATTTGCTTTTTGCTCGCTATGCTCTTTGTTCAGATCACTTATTCCGAACTTTCAATACTTATGCATCTCTCATTTGTTCTGTTTGTAAAGTAAATTAGATCTTCGGCTCTTTTTGTAAAAACTGCAATCAAGATTCCTAAGAAAACCCAAACTCATTCCCAAGTACACATTTTAATCTATTTCGCACGACTTCGAATTCTTGTTCACATTTCCCACAAGCCACTCTACGGCTGTTCTTACAATGACTCAACTGCCTTCTACGTTTTTTTGCGATAATCACTATGGCTTCAACTACGATTAATTTGAAGGCTTTCGATATTTTATCTCTCTATGTACAGTGGTTAACTATACACTGTTAACTATGTATATCCAATGCAGTATAATCTGGCATATACACATATATATGCATATCATATAGATAATACATATAAATTTACATACATACAATGTAATATGTGTGCGCTGAACGCCGCTTGACCAAATATCATAGAGTAAACAAGTAAGAGGTTCTAGGATTTCAAGTCTAGCTCTTATAGGTTCTGAGATCCTTGCGTTCATACATACGGACAGACGGACGGGCGGACAGACGGACGGACGGACAGACGGGCAGACAGACAGACGGACATGGTTAGATCGACTCGGCTATTGGTGCTGATCAAGAATATATATACTTTATGTGGTCGGAGATGCTTCCTTCTGCCTGTTACATACATTTGGATTTTGCACAAATACAATATACCCTTATACCCATTTTTAATGGGTTCAGGGTATAAAAACAGACCAAATATAAGGCGTATGCAAATCGACCACAAGACAGCTTTGCGAGTGAGAGCCCTTATGTACTCATATGTATGTACGCTTGCTTACATAGCCCTCACATAGGTTTAACCAATTCATATTTTTTACAATAAAGGTATTTTCTCTAAGACGTAAGTCCGACAATTTGAATTACCTAATGTGGTGGAGGCCAATTCAATTGACAAGTTGTCTCGTTACATATCATTGTTTTTCATTAATATAATTTTTAATACAAATTCCGAAATATAGTCCTACACAGTTAACTAGTTCGGTTCTAATGTCTGTCAATGTTGTTTTATTCTGCAATGAAATTGCCAAAGGACATGATGATAGTTTTTTTACTCTTTGAATGAAACGTCAACCAACTTGCAATTGTTATCTTAGATTACAAAATCGGTTATTTCCTCAACAATTGTTCTCACAACTTGCTTTCTACTCGCTACCGTTAAATTATTTATTTTCTTGGTGAGTCCTAGACCATTATCCATCATCCATCACTCCCTTAATTATTTCCAAGCTGCCCACGCTACTTGCAGCCATACAACCCCATACCATTACTCCACCACCACCATGTTTAATCGTTTTAATCGTATTTTTTGGGTTATATGCCTCTCCACCGTATTATTATATGACGTCATATATTTTGATGTTATCGCGCCTGCCGGTATTCGAATTTTTTACCTGCTGGCGCCGAGACTTGGCCCTGCAACAACAACACTAGAACCCAAATCGTCATGAACGATGAATTCTGCTCAGCTTTTCAGTCGGTCATGAACTATTCGCTTAGTTCAGTTATGCAGTCAAATCAAAATTGAAATTAAAATCTCGTTATCTTTTATGTTTATTAAGAACTGAACATCTCAAAGAATGTATCGTTCAGGAACGGATGAACTGCTGAGTTGCATACAACGTTCATGACCGACTGAACGAGTATCAAGAATGTATCGTTCATGACCGACTGACCGAGTCCAGAATACATCGTTCATGACCGACTGAATAGCTGAACGAGTGAACTAAATGACCGATTTAGTTTACTAATCACTGAATAAGTTCAGTCGTTCATTTTAATGACCCGTTCAATCGAACTTGGTCTGAACTGAACGGCACAACTCTACCCTGAACCCATTGAAAAGTGGTAAATAGGGTTTTTTGTATTTTTGCAGAATATAAATATATGTAACAGACAGAAGGAAGCATCTCCAACCCCATAAAGTATATATATTCATGATCAGCATCACAAGCCGACTCGATCTATCCATGTCCGTCTGTCTGTCTGTCCGTCCTTCCATCCGAAGGTATGTATCAACGCAAGGATATCAGAACCTATAAGAGCTAGAGACTTCAAATTTGGGCTTTATAGCCTCTGTTCACTAAGCACATTTCTTACACATTTCTGAAAATGTCACATTTTTGCAAATTGTGTAAAATGCGGCCTGTACGTTTCCCCATAAGAAAACACATTTCACTAATTTTTCAAAAATGTTGCATTTCACACGTCACATTTTTTAAAAATGTGTATATCGACCCGAACATTTCGTATTTTTTGCGATGATGTTTACTCGAGATTTCTATCGATGTTGTGAAAAATGTGAAAGTATCGTAACCATAAACAGCTGATATGTATATCAACGAAGGCAAGCGGCAACTTTAAATAAGAAATTTCATATTAAAATAATCCCACAGTTTTTAAAATTTGTTAATAGAAATCTCGAAAAGAGTACCTAAAATGGAGCCTTTACTTCGAGAGATTAATTTTTGGGTTTTGGAAGAAAAACTTTACGGCGCTTATAAAAATTAAAGAAACTCGATCAGCTGTTTATTTAAAGAAGCGGTACTTTTGCCACTCACATGTTACCGAACCGGTGGAACACCAATATGTGAAATTTGAAAATGTGACATTTCTTAACACAGTGGACAGCGGCTATTATATCCTCCTAGTGCCCGCGCAGTACGAGTTTCTTTCTGATAATCGATAACTTGCCCCGTTTCCAAGTAATCAATCAATATCGATATCCAAATCGCGTCTCTAGGTATTAAGAGCTACAGTCTAGGGATGATCGATAGTGTTATTTCTGTGTCACAGTGACAACTGTGACAGTTACAAAAAAATATCAGTGACAAATAACAGCGACTGTTACTTGACTCTTAGGCGCGAAGCTTTTTTTAAATATATATAAATAAACCAATTAAAATGTAATATTGTAATGCTCTATAACAATTTATTTTTTTATTATATTAAATTTAAATATTATTATATAGAAAGCTAGAAAAGGTTTTCGTTGGCATTTAAAAACAGCAGCATCTGGACCCTATCGTTACTTAATCGAGTTCTGCGATCTGACAATAAAAGGCCAGCTTGAGAAAAGAGGCGCTCACATGGCACTGAAGAACCTAAGCAGCAAAGCTTTTGCCGCGCGACAGACATAAGGTTGGGGAATTGGTAACCATTTTGTTTCCACCAATCCATGGGGTCCTTCTCGTGGCTCAAAAAATCCTCTTCTAAATAGCGATCAATTTCAATAATCGCTCTTGAAAGAGGTGACTTTTTTGGCCTGGGTGCCTGTGGAATTGCGCTAAAGAGACTATATGAAACCTCTTCAGAGTTGGCTTCAATCTGGCTCTGTTCGATCGCAGGTGGTGCATTTTTCTCCTTAAAGGAAGAAATTAAAAGTTTTGCAAGAGTAGATTTAACTCTCTCCGCCGTGCTCGGATCCTTGAAATAAATAGATTTGTATCTTGGATCTAACAATGTTGCAGTCGATAACGTGTTGCTTTGCTCCAAGCTACCCAGTCGCCTATTCATTCCATCAATAAGGGAGTTGATAACCTACAATATACAATTTAAAAATCTGAGCATATATGTACATATTTATAAAAGAGTACCATACAAACATACCTTTACAATGCTATCAGGGAAATCAAGCTTTTTAAATCTATCCAATACTTTGAAAATCTCAGCAGTGATTGGAATTGCCAGAGATCCAGAGCAATATTTTTGGCCACTTATCTTTTTAGTTGCTTCTTCAAAAGGCCGCAAAATAAAAACAACTTGTTTGATTATAGCCACTGCTTTTAATAGCAGGCAAGGCCTTATCGCATAGTGCCATAGTGCTTTTCACAGCATTCTCAGTCTTTAGGAAGAAAATGTAAGATATTAATATAATAAGGATAAGATATTAATATATAAAACTAAATACAAAACAATCAACATAATGTACCTTTAAAAAACGTTCCAGCATATAAAATGTGGAATTCCACCTGGTTTCAATGCTTTGTATTAAGCGCAAAGGCACGATTCCGTCGTTGTTTGCTGTAGAGCTTTTTTTTAAAATGGCTTACAATGCGTTTGACGTTTTCAATAATATCTTGCACAGTCTCATTTTTAGTGCGTCCTTTACCACCAAGTTGATCGAGTGCGCCAAACAACCAAAATGTTTCCATTTTATATGGTCAATTATGGCACTTTTTATATTTGAAGCATTGTCTGATACAGCAAATACAATTTTATCAAAAATATTCCAGGTCTTGGTAATATTTTCCAAAGCTTCAGCCAGATTGATTGCAGTATGTGCTTCAGTTAACGGACATTCAAACAACACTGATTTTAGCTCAAAACTCTTATTTACAAAGTGGACAGTGATTCCAATAAAACTTTAATTGCTTCGGGACGTCCAGCAGTCTGTAGTCAGGCAAAAGTACTCCTCATTGGAAAGTAATTTTTGGACTCTCAGCTTACACTCTTCATAAAGAGCCGGAATCATGGTGCGCGACATTTTATGGCGACTTGGCAGCTCATATTTTGGGTTAAGCACACCAATAAGATTGCGAAATCCTTGGTCGTCCAACATGTTGAATGACTGCAAGTCTTTATAAAACATTTGGCATAAAATGGAATCTATGTATTGCCTTTGTTTTGGCGTAAGCTCTTGAGCACCAAATAGAGCTTTAATTGTTGGTTGACGACACATTTGCTCTTGCTCTGCACAATCTTCTTCCTCCTTGTTTTCCGGATCTTCATTTTCTTCATTTGAATTGATTTGAATCATTTCAAACGCAGGATATTCTGTTGCAGCTACCTTCTAATAAATATATTTTTGAAAATGTTTTTATAATAAGTTAACAAAATAAACATGTGCGCAAGTACGTATGTACCTTTTTTGGCACAACACTTGTTGGACAACACAACACTTGTGTTTGTGCAAATTACTCGTTGACGTCTTATACGAGTACTTTTCCTTGCAAATATTGCATTTTGCAAATTTGTCGTCGACAGCCTTGAATAGGGACCAAATTTCACTCGTTTTTTTATCCATTTTAAGATAAGGTAACAACGTACACACAAATTAAAACGGTTTTTGTAAGTGAGGCCGTATAGTTGCAAGTTCAAAATAACAGCCAAGTACACATCAGTTTCAAAGTTCTTAGCTTTGTAGCCAGTACGAATGTAACAACCTGAGTACAGGCCTGTGACAGAGTACTCAGCTTCTCGAAGAGTACGAATGTAACAACCTGAGTACAGGCCTGTGACAGAGTACTCAGCTTCTCGAAGAGTACGAATGTAACAACCTGAGTACAGGCTTGTGACACAGTACTCAGCTTCTTGTCTAGTACGAATGTAACAACCTGAGTACAAATCGGACGAGACAGCAACCATAAAAATACAAAAACGGTGCAAGTTTTTGATAAGACAGCAACCATAAAAATTAAAAAACTGCAAGTCTTTGATATTTATTAAAAAGTATATCTTCGTGTAAAGTGTATACAAATTTCGCCATCAACAATGAACCAGTCATTTGTTATATCGACATGCCAAAAAAACAAAGACCGTGCCAGTCGCCCAAATTTACGCACCCATTGATAAAAATATTTCTGTCTCGCGACAAACCATTGATCAGCTCATTTGCACACATTTGTGAGTGTGTATATATGTGTGTGTAGAGCTCGAAATTCACAAATGCCAAAAACTTCAAATTTTGTCAAATTTGCATCGGGCAGGCAGGCAGGCAACCAACACGCACACAAACGCATTAATACTTCCATCCATATAGAAAAGTGTGTTAGTGTTCGTGGTTGGCCGACCCAAAAAGTTATCATGCACACATGCCAGCGATCAGGTACCCTTACCCCTACAACAAGCATGGAAAATAGCAATTTTGCACATGAACAGGCCAAACCCTTTAATAATTTCACACAACTGCTTACTTGAAAGAGTGTGCGTCAATTTTTGGTCTTTTCTTACATTCTTCGACAAGCCGACGATGAATTACCCTTGCAGAAATACGACTTAGATATTATTGTATTTGAAGCAAAATAGGTTCCTACAGTAAATAGAAAATAAATTTAAATATTTCATTTAGGTCAATTAATTGTGTATTAAATAAAATTAGATCAAATTCTTCTCATCATGCCTGACTGGACGAAGAAATATGTACATGATAGAGCATTTAAATGTGAGTGCCTATTGCTACCTCAGGCACAAAAGGCACACAATTGAAGAAATAACCTCTGGCTCGCGACAAACGCCGCGATCTACTTGTGCGCACATCCACACAACACAAACATAGGAATGCTTGTAGATCTCGGGGAGGGAGAAAGAGATGGACGCAAGTGCGCAAAGCAATGAGCGAGGCACATGCATACACACATATGTTTTTGGGCTGTAAGGATTTAAAAATGGCATACATACATATATTAAGAAAACGTATCATCAGCCGCGACGTTGTGCGCTAAGCGAGATGCGGCTTCATACTGAACGTTCGGCTTTTGAGGCCGGCGTTCGGCTGCCACTCTCAGCAGTCTTACTCTGTCTGGGCACACTAAAATGGTCGCAGGTACCATTGGGGTCGCCTCGTTTCGATTTTTCATGTTTCGATAAAAAGTGCCATTTGGTATGTCTATACATTGTATGGTTAGTGGTGCAGTTGATTTTTAATCAAAATTATATTGTGATAAGTGCATTTAATTGTTCAAGCTTGATTGAGCGTAATTAACAAAATTATGCTACTGTAAAAATACTAAACAGCTGTTTTAGTTTTACTACCGTGTGCGTTGTGAAGTTTTTTGCACTTGCACACATGCGGTCACATTGCTAACTTACTTCAACGTGTTAGAATGGGTGGAAAAACGAAACAAGCACCTCGCACCAAAAACAATGCAAAGGTAAGCATTAAACCCATGCCAAAGCACTTGATGACTAATTTATTTTGTTGTTCTCTTGCTAGCCATCGAGCAGCAGCCGCTCCGCGGAACTGCTGGGCACTACAACGCCTATCTTTGTTGGCTTCTCGGCTCAAGCCGATGGCAACTTGGTGCCCTTTGCTCCTGGCTTTGCCAGCGCCGAACAAATGCCAGAGACATTCGATGCCAGCATCAGCCCACAGACACAAATAATACTGCGCAAGCTATCCAAAAAGGATCCAATGACAAAAAAAAAGGCGCTGCAGGAGTTGCACGAACACATAACAGAATCCGATTTGGATGCACTCAAAAATATTTTGCCACTGTGGCCAAAATTTTATCACAATCTGGCCAACGACGTTGAGCACTCGGTGCGTGAACAAACGCAGCTGGTGCTGCAGTTGCTTGTCTCCAAATGCAAGCGCGCCATGGCTCCGTATCTGAAGCAACTGGTGCCCGTTTGGCTGGCCAGTCGATATGACAGCTATGCGCCGGCAGCAAGCATTGCCAGCAATTCTTTTCGTGAGACCTTTGCACGCACTGGCGAGGTCTGCTTGCATTGTCAGAGTGAAATAATTGAGTATTGCACGCGGAATTTGACCTTTCACACGCCTGCGACGCTTTCAATAGGCAAAAGTCTAAAACCGGAGGAAGCAGAGCAAAAGTATCAGCGTGTCGTCATCGGCAGCTTTAAGGTCTTGTCCTTTTTCATCGAGCAAACGTCGCAGGCGGAGGAGCAAGGGCAGCTAAAGCAGGGATTGACGACGCTGTTAGCGCACCATAAGTTCTGGACCTTTGCTAAGCACAAGCTGCCAGCCATAAAGTAATTAACATAAAAAAATAGTAAACAATTATATAACATTAGTTTTTGCGCATTGTAGAGCCGCTTGGTTTGATTGTATCTATCATGTGCTGCAATGCCCCTATCTGCAGGAAGTGCTTATACCCCAAAAATCGCAACTTATAACCACGAGTTTTCAATTTATCGACGACGCTGATCCTCTGGTGGCTCCCCACGTTTGGGGTTGCGTGCTGCTCCTGCAAAACAACTATGAGGATTGGTATGATGAGAGAAGAGCATACAGCTCTGTTATTTATTTATTTTGCATTGCATTCTTTTATTTATAGAAATATTTTGCCATTTCAGGTATTCTCCACTCAATATTCGCAAGGCGCTGCTGCCGAAACTCTCATCACTGCTGCGCAATGCCTTCAATCGCAATGCTCACGCCATTTGTCCGAATCTGCTCCCGTTCCTGTCCAAAATTACTCAGGCTAGCTTGCAAGACTTGGATATTTACGAGTTCTATCAGCGTTTCTTCGATGATTTAAAAGCTGCCATCGTGGGTCCACATGAGCCACCACTATCCAAAGCGGACACTTCGATCATGCACAATGCGTACTTTGAATGTTTGCGCTTTATACTGCAACAGGTCAACAACAATCCGCAGCGTACTGATGCAATAGAGGAGTTTGGCTTGCTGCTCCTGGAACAGCAGCTATTGGAGCCCATTGGGAACCTGCTGCGAAGTGAGAGTACCCATGTCAAGTATTTTTTCCAACAAGCCTCAGCGTTGGTTGCTTTCTGGGATCGTGAATGCAATAATGTTGTCGATAAAAGTTCCTGCTCTTTGTATGTTAAATTACTGAACAAGTTCTGGACGCGCATTTTTGAGCTGGTCACACAAGATCTTGGGGTGGAAGATGTCAATGAGCAGCTGCTGTCTCATGTGCTGCTGCTGGTGCAGGATCTGCATGTGGCAAATCCCAGCTTGGAATCGCAGTGCGTCAAGTTCGTGGAGGCAGACAAGGAAAACAATCTTGACACGGCTTCGCAACAATCAACGCCCACCAGAAAAGTGCACGACGCAGCCGCATTCATACAAAAAGAGCTCAAACAGCTTGTGGTAAAATTGGTGCGCATTTGCCTGGACAAAGCGAGCAGCAGCAGCAACTCCGCTCGGTTCATAAGCCAGGTCCGCACGCTGACTAAAATGTTCACAGATGCCGAATTCTACAAAAGTCTGACAGAACAAGGTGAACTGCGTGCAACGCTGGATAAATTTGTGGCACTCTTGGGAAAATTAAATGACGATGCCAGCGAATCGGTGGTAGAAATACTCTTTGAGATTCTTTCCCTGCTTGAGCCGGAGCCTCGCTTTGAGTACATTGCTGACACGCTATTGAAGGTAAGAAAAGTTCGATTATGTAGCAAAATTAATCTTCATCATTAGATAAGTAACTGCTATCAATAACTCGTGAGAATTGCAAAGAGGGGACATTTTAGGAAGAGAGGGCTATAAATAATGAGAGTTACTTTTACTCAATCACTCTCTTCGGAACATCTTTACTCGCGAATTTCTGTTTCTCTCCCTAATTTCTCTGAAATATCGCTTCAATAGGATTCTTATTAATTCAAGAAGTGCTTAAAGGGAGAGCTAATATTAGCTGAAAACTAATATACTATTACTATTATTAATTTGTAGATAAAACAACAACGCGTACAAAATCTTTTGCTGCATCGTTTGCTCTCGTATCCGCTGTGCACAGAGCCTGCCGTGCGCCAAATGCTCGCCAGCCCAGAGACCTGTACTATTATCACACGCATTGCCGAGGAAGTTGTTGTGGATAACAATCGCGATAAATTGAACTTGTTGCATAAATGCTTCTTTCAAACGGACACGGGTGATATCCTAATTAATGCGGCGACCGTCGATAAAATACTGCTAGCCATGTGTGTGCCGCTAGAGGAAACAACAGCCAACGATATGGTTGAGGTGTGTGGCAGTTTTATAGCACAGATTATGCCCGTTATATGCAGCAAGGAGAACTCTTCGCTGGCAGTGCGTCGGCAGGTCTTTTTAAGGTTGTACAAGTTTAGCTTAGAGCAACCAGCTAGCGACTATTTGTCGGAGGATACGCTGTGGGAGATAACTACCTGCTGGCAGGATGCGCTCTCCAGCAAAGACATTGAAATCAACGATGAGCTTCTGAAAAGTTGTGCACTCATTGTGGAGGAACTTGCACTGAATACTGAGCTGAACGGCAGCAGCCTGGATGGCATGGCTGAAGCTATGGCCAAATTTGTCATTTGCTCTACGGAGAACATTGAAGATGAGGTCGAGCGTTTATCGCGCATTGACGAGACCATGGTGGCGCTGCTCAGCTCTAAAGTGAAAACAGCCGACAGTGTGTTGCAATTCGAGCAGCATTGTGTGTACCTGGATACGCTGTACTCTTCGAAAAGCGCTGGTGTAGCCTTCGAAAGTGCAGCCTTCGACGAACCTAAAATTCTGCCGCTGCTACGACGCGCGGCTTTGAATTTTGCCACAATCTGCAAGCTGGTTTGCCGTGTTGATAATCCGCAGCTACCGCAACAGTCCAACGAATGCGAAGATGAGCTAACCGAAGACTACTGTGATCCCAATGCCAATCTGCTCAAGCAATGGAGCGAGTGTTTAATTTTGGAAGTACTGCAGTGCATGCAGGTGGCTGGTGCTGCAGATGCCTGGCTGGAGGTCAGCTTTAGAGTGGATGGAGCTTGTGAAGAGCTGGCGCTAAGTCTATCCGAACAGGTGCGCAGCTTCATGGGCAACAGCAGTGAATTGGTGGGCATCATTAGGCAGCGGCTGGAACAGGCAGCTTTAAAACAAAATAGCGTCATAAGCTGTCGCCTGTTGAGTTATCTGATTTACACAGACCAATATGCGCCCTTTGAAGAAAACGCTGCAATTCTGCTCCATGAAGCTCTCGGCGAGATGCTTTTATCGCAAGGCGCGGTCAATGCATATGTGATGACACTGCAGGTGAGCAATTTATTATTATTTAATCTAACATTTATTAAAGCGTTGTCCCTTTTAGCACTTGCTTCCGAAACTCTCGCAGCGATCACTTTGCTGGAATAGCGCCATCATGCGCATGGAACCTACTGATTGGTGGACGAAGGCAGCAGTCTATCGTTGTTTACTACTCAATAACTTTCAGTCTGATCAAAATAAGAAAACGGATCGAAACTTTATTACCTCGGCATTGCAGTTCTTAACCCGCGTTGGTGAACAGCAAAATGCGAAAAAAGAGCTGCTGCATTATAATGTGTAGGTTGGTTCTTATTCTAATATAATAATTGATATTAATACCAATCTCTTTTTAGAGAGTTAATAAATCAACCATATGAAGAAGTGCTAAATACCGTGGAAATCATTAAGCTGCTAAATGAAATCTTGCAACGCTTTCCCCATGAACTGAACATTAAGAACTGGGATACGATAAGCATTGGCCTTGGCTCTTGGATGCTTACTGTTTCCAAGTCTATAGCATATTACAGCGATCCAAAGGTTCGTGTTGTATATAATCTATGTGTACTTAGGCCTTTACAGATAAATTAACACTTTTATATATTCACAGACTTCTTTTTTCGTTGTGGCTGTGTTTCAACTGTTCGCATCGCTCAATTGTTTCATACGCTCGGAGAAGCAAAAGAGCTCAACGGAACTACTTAAGAATGTGATCGATGAGTGGGAGAGCCTCTTTGCCAGGATGGTCAATGTGGTGCTCTTTAAATCATATTATAAACTGACTCATGAGGCAGGTGTGCAACCAGAATTTCGCGTGTGCTACGAGGCGTTGATAGAGAATCTAATGCCCGCGCTGGAAGTGCTGGACTATAGCTTTATTTACGGGGTAGCTATGCCTAAGTAACTAGACTAGAACACATTTAAATTTGATATCTTTTCCGTAGTTCTGTAAAGTGCCAAACTCAAAGCTATCCCTGGATCATCTATGCAATTTTCTGCTGAAACAACTTCACAGCTCGCAGCATTGCGTGCGCCTAAATGCAGTTCATGCTCTGCGCCAGTTAACGCCCCAGTTTGTGGCCGACGACATTGCGCTGAATGAAAAAGAAAGCGATGATATTGAAGCTGCCTCTTCGACGATCGCCAAGTGGCACTTTCTTAATCGTTTAGAGGATTATTTGAATCGCTATGACTCGCTCATACGTAAGTATTTGGAGGAGTTCAGTTTTAAGGTCACCGAACTAGAGGATCTGGAGCCAATTGATAGACACGATGCCTATAGCTATTTGCTATTATGGGACTGTGTTATAAATACCTGCGCCAAGTCGCCAGTTGCATTGCGCTCTGTCTACACAAGCTGGCTGAACGAGAATCATTACGAGGAGGTAAGTTTTTATAAACCACTACGGTTTTACTTTTGATTTGGGTCTAACAAACTTAAAATTTTCGTGTACACTTCATAGAATTTTCTACACTTTCTCTTTCGCGCCATGCCGGTGGATATATTGAAGAATCATAGCGCCAAGGTGCATAGCAATGGTGTTTACAAGGAGCTTAGCTGGTCTCAACTGAAGGGTAAGTGATTAACTTATATGCATTATTTAATTGATAAGCGTCTCCTCCGAGGGCAGATTTTCAGCCAGGGCTTCTCGCAAATAATCCTCGCCATAGGTTTCAAATTCTGACATGCCAAAATCATAATCATCCACCATTTCTTCGCCCACTTCTTCCGACAATGAAATGTAATCGGTAACAGGCACGAACGTTTCATCATTATCCGCGTGCATCGAACGTGCCAGGGGTACTTGTTGTGGTGCCATGTATATATTCAAGTTCGATATGAACTTGTTTATCCAAACGGTCAGATTATTTGCCAATATGCGTTGATAGTCGCGCAAGTTGCTTGTGGTATAGAATTCTTGTTCTGTGAAGTTAGAAATACGGTTAATGTTTACTCGTTTTGCAGTTGAGCATGGGCGTCTGATCTAAAAACTAGGTATATTTGTATTTACACTCAGTACCAACAGATGAGTTGATATGGTCTTGTCTGTCTGTCTGTTTCTAAGCAAACTAATCTTTCTGTCATGAAGCTATTGTCATAAATACCGGAAATCTTTATCCAAAGCCCTTTTATTATTATTATTATTAAGATATATCTGTGGTAGCCTTTTTCACTTACCAGTGAACTCCTTGATCCGCTCCAATATAACAGCAGATAGAGGCGACTGCTCGTCAATTATGAACTGGTCGTTCAGGAGGAAATCCTTCATCTCCTCAAAGAGGACGCAAACAATTTTCATCATCTGCTTGCGTTGACGCTCAATAATGAGCTTTTTGAGCCCGCTGCAGCGTTTTTTATGCTTCTGCCTTTGAGCGCGACGCTGTCGCATTTCCTCCTCCAAATACTCCATTGCCTTTTCCATGGTCATCGCTTCGACTGGTGGCTTCGGTTTTAATTGTTGTTGCAGGGCTGCAATATGCCGTTGCGAGAGAATGTGCTTGAAACTTTTAAACGTGTCCTTGACGCGCAGCGGATGCGGATTCGCCAAACGTTCCATGCGAGCTGTACAGATGGGCACATAGATTTTCTTGGTGATGTAGCGCGGCTGCCTGAGTCGCTGCGGCGACAGGAAATTCTTTTTGGGTGTAGCTAAAAAGCATGTGTGCTCCTCCCGCTTTAGCATATCACGGTCGATGATGATTTGGCCGGTGTGCTGGCAGGGCACATAGCAGGGATGATAGCGCGGGCAAACGCAAAAGAATTTATACATATGTTGTGGCTCCGGTATTTCCGATTTGACCAATCGTTTAATGCGCTTGGCGCGATCCGGTCGCAACTGGACCATGGCTAGGCGGGCGTTCAGCTCATCTGCCACTGTGATGCCCGTTTCCTTGGGCCCACGAGATGGCGGCATATCACTTGGCATTTTTGTGAAGTTGATTGCCTCGGCCACGGATTTTTCGCCCTCTAGCTTTAATTCGCGAGCTGGCGCCTCGCTGGCGATCTGATAGAAGTTCAATGGTTTTTTATCCATTATTGAAATAAAAATTGAAAGTTATTTTACGAAACGAACAACACAACAAAATGATCACAAACAAAATGTACTAAGAATATATGAGGTGTGTTTGTGTGTTTAGTGTTGATTTTGTTTGTAATGGCCTGCTAATATCACATAGCATTTCTTTAACTGCTCTCCTTGTACTCGAACAGATCCTCAACTCCCACTGGAGCGGTATGCATGCCATCTGTATACGGAGGTGTTGCGCAAGTTGCCAGCCGTGGTGCGCAAATGGTGGAACACCAGTCCGTCCAGGCAGAAAAACTTTGTGGACAATCTGACGACCAATTACGTTAGCGCACTGATATGCAGCGAGGAGCTGAAGGCAATCGTCAATCGCAAGGAAAAACATGAGAATATGCAGGTGGGTAGACGTTCCTTTCTGATCTTTGTTAAGTCTCTTTAAACGGTCTCCTCGATGCACATGCGCATCACAAACACTACTATGATGCAGATGAGTAGCACTATTATAACAAAGGCCCGAAATATTTCAAGTGGTACCATTTTGTGCGAAAACTTTGTTAACTTTCGATTACGATCTATACATAAAACGGAAACGTAAACAAAATACCCGCCTAAAGTACAAAGTAACAAGGGCTACTTAGCTTGAAAATAAAACGTTGCATTTAAGAAGGTATGTCCACAGCGTTAATACATATGTATTTTTGATCGCACTGAGTTGAGCAGGGTCTGTTTATCTGTCTCTGTTTAACCTTGCCTCTTCGTTTTTTTGCTATTTTGATGTAACTTGACATGAACATATATATTGTTATTTTCATGGAGCACTAAGATCATGATCATTCAAATTTTCTTTTACTTTTCATTTTTAGGTGACAGTCCACACATCCACTCGAGAGGTTTTGGCTGTCTATGCCATTGATGAAGCACGCATGGAGCTCGTCATTACCCTGGCGCCTAATTATCCGCTTGGCGCTGTAAAAGTTGAATGCGGCAAGCAAATTGGCGGACGCGCCACCTCACGTAACGTTGGCATGCAGCTGACCATCTTTTTGACTCATCAGGTGAGAGCTTCATTTGTATTATTTACTCGTACTCATAATGTTTACTCATTAGAATGGCACCATTAATGACGGTCTAACGCTGTGGAAAAACAATCTGGATAAGAAATTCGAGGGCGTGGAGGAATGTTATGTTTGTTATACGGTTATACACCAGGACACGTGCCAGTTACCCAAATTGACGTGCAAGACATGCAAAAAGAAATTCCACGGGCCGTGTTTGGTGAGCTCAGCAAGCGTTAAATTTATTGGAGCCTTTACTAATAGATTATTCCTTCAATTTACACAGTACAAATGGTTCACGACGAGCAGCAAATCCACCTGTCCAATTTGCCGCAATGTCTTCTGAAAGATCTACTTAATTGCTTTAGTTTGGCGACACGTATTAATCTAGGCACAATAAAAGCTTTGCCGATAGTCAATTGTTTAAATTTTGGGCCCTAAATGTAAATCAGTGCATAATAACAATAAATTCACAATAGGTTTAAATCATTAGATTATTATTACAAAAAAAAATTTTTGTTAATTAAATTCTTTGTAAGTGACGTAATGCTTTAACATTTATTATCACTGATGCCAATTCTTAAAGATTTCTAAAAATTGAGCACAGACAAATGTGGCATATAAATAAGAAAAAACTTAGTAGCCAACAAAACATATTCTCAGCAGGCTTTCCCCTCAAATATCATATTCAATCATATTATTCTCGACACTTGACACGTTCAGAGCAAAAACCGAACGGAACTGTATACATTTCTTCAAAAAATTTGTGTGATAATTTTACAATAATCATGGCGAAGCAGATGAAGATCATCGGCAATTGTCCATTTTGCCAACGTGAGGTGGGCAGTGATATGCGTCCCATTAACCAGCTCAATATGGACCACATCAACATTCTGGCCAACGAGTTAAAGGATATATATCCATCAGAATCGCATGTTAGCAAAGTGAGTACACATAAATTGGGTGATCCAAAGGATTCAAATTCAGCAATTGAATCAACTCAAAAGGGAAACGAATCTATTGCCGCGATAACTGACACTATGTTGAATATGGTGACAGAACAGTTTGAGCGCCTCCCAGACTCTGAGGTAAGTTGGTCTTCTCGTCGTAATGTACCTCTTGTTATATTCTGTGTGCCTTTAAAGAATCACATTCCTGAGGATCATGCAGAGCTCATTCTGGCTATGCTGTCGGAAGAACAACATACATACGAAAAGTTTTTGAACAAAAAAACTTCTGTGAATCCAAAACCACCGCTTAAGCGCAATAAATAGCATGTTTCCAACTACCTACTCAACATTTTTAACTCGGCCAAAACGTGGCTGATCCCATTTTTACATCGTTGAGGGACCATATTGAATACTTTGCGATAGTCGGTTTTTATCATTTTAAAACAATATAACGTTTTTCAACTTAATAAATTGCAGTCACAATAAATTCGCAAATAATATTAAATTACGGTTTAAATCATCTTCCGGTTCGTTAGCGCGCCCTTTTATGTGTAAAAGGATGTGCCCTTGATTATTGGTATGTATATCGCTACTCCCATACTTCAGTTTTTTCCTGGTAAATATAATTGTTAGGCATATTTGTCGAAGGTCGATTAATTTATTTTAAAATTAGCTTATTCCCCGTTCAACTGAAAATATTTCAAGCCGTAGATATTTTCATATAGAAGTTGCGGGGTAAATTCAATTTCTACCCAAAATTGGGATCTCCCAATGGGTACAAAATTCATCATGTCTTGGGGACGAGTCTCACAAAAGCTATATTTTGAATCAAACCTTTATTTTGTACTCTTGTAGAGGGTATTATAATGTTGCCATGAAATTTGTAACGCTTAAGATACGTCTCCTACTTCATAAGGAATAAATATTTTATGACAGTCTAAATAGCTGAGTTGATAGCCTTGTCCATCTGACCGTCTGTTTGATTCTATGTGAACTAGTCCTTCAGTTGCCTTGAAACTATGCATAGTTGCTGTTGCTGTCGGTGAATATTTCGGTACTGGCCAAAGGGGACCAATGTCTCATATAGCTGCTATATAGGAACAATCGGTCGAAAAGTAGGTTCTTGGCAAAATATTTTATTCCATGTATATTTATATATGACTAATGTCTACAAGAGTATTAAATCCTCGTTGTGCCGAGGATATCCGCACTTTCTCGTTATTAAATGGTTTTGGTGGTTTGAGCGTCAAAGTTTTTTTGAAATGTCCGGTTTGAACCGGTTCGGTTAAAAGCTAATTTGCCGCCTCTTTGACTAAAAGAACTGTAGGAGCAAGGCACGAAAAGGTTTACTGATTAACTTCTAAATTCAATTCTATTTCGAAAAGCCAATCTTGAGGAAAAACCTTATAGATCGTAAGTCTGTAGCTGTTGCTTCAGCACCTGCGACATTTATAACCTTTTCAAATCCAAAGTCAATTACATACTTGGTTAGCAAATCCAGCCACGTGCTGTATGCACAATTGTTGTTTAACCAACCACCCTAGAGTTCACGATTCTGCGCTCTAGCCGTGGGCCCTTTGTTTCGGCCCCGCGCTGCCCCGTTCGGCCGAGGGTGGGGCACGATATGACGAACGCATCAGTTTTCCGTTGCACTCTGGTGGGGTTTGTTAGCTGGGATTAGGCACGCCATCGCTCGATACACAGCGCCGGGCCATATGCGTTAAGCCAAAATGACGTAAGCTCTCCGTGAATATGTCAACAGCTCAACCGAAACTTGGCCAGCGTGTACAAGTAACGGGCAAGCACCAACTTTGTGGCCAAGTGGCCTATGTGGGACGCACCAGTTTCGCGGCGGGTCAGTGGTTTGGCATTGTGCTGAACGAGCCGCGTGGCAAGAACAATGGCACCGTGCACGGCAGCACCTACTTTAAATGTGCGCCCAACTTTGGACTCTTTGTGCGTGCACAGCAATTGCAGTTGCTGCTAGGATCGAACCAGGTGGAGCAGCTGAAAAAACAGGACAACAATCGCACAAAGGACAGCATGCAGCGCGATGTAAGCAAAATGAAGCTGGTCGGCAGGAACAGAAGCAGGCAGGCGACCGACGACCAGGTGAGTCACAAGCTGCAAACGATGACAGCTGTGAATCATGTGCGTGCAAAAATGTGGGTGGAGTTAAGGGTCACTTTGTGGCACATATATGCATTTAAGTTGACATATACATGATATCCACACTTAAACCAAATTGTTTACCTCTTTCACAGAATAACCAAAGGGCGGCTAAAGCATCAGCTAAAAAGCCGCCAGAGCATGCGACATTTTCAATGACCACTTCCAAGACTTGGGTGACTTCCACTCAGCTACAACCACAACCGCCACCACAGCCGCAACCGGAAGCACAGGTAACGAAAGCCATCATGAGTATTCCAAGCGTGTAAACAGCTTGTCTCTTTAAACCAGGAGCTGGCCAGCCCATCTGCGAGCTCCCAGCAAGAGTCTACGCAGGACGTGGCACCAACGCAGTGTGAAGCTGCAGCCTTTACACAGAAAATAACGGAACAAAAGCAGGAGATAACGTCAAATATCGCCACACAATCAAGTACAAGCAAAAGCCCAAGCCCATTGCCATCTCAAGCCGTTGGGCTTGTCAAGTGCAACCAAGCTGGAGCTGACGCACGGTCGTCCATATTGACGCCACCAGCTTTGACCTGTAATCAACGACGCTCCACATCCTACACACAGCTGCGACCGACGCGCATCAGTCAGCCGAAGCCGACAACTGCCCAGGCGCAGAGCACCACGGCACAACTAACTCTGGCCATGCCGGTGCCGCTGGCCTTGGCGCCCAAACGCAGCAAGACGAGCATGAGCCCGACCAGCAGCCTGAAGCGTGCGGCGGCACCGGCTGCTTTTGTGGAAGCTGGCTTTTTGGAGATACTGCGTCCACAGTTTACGCCGGGTCCGGCATTGCGCACGCCCAGCACCGTGGCGCCACCGTTGGACAGCGCGGAGCTGCGGCAACTACGCGAGGAGCTGCAGCTGCTGCGCGTGCAGAAGAGCGAGGACAAGCTGAAGCTGCTGGAGCTGGAGCGTATCAAGATACACAACGAACAGCTGCTGGAGTTTAAGGCGCAAATTATGACGCAGCAGGTGCTGCTGCAGCGGGAGTTGCAGCGGTGTCGTCACGAGCAGCGCGAGTCCCAGGAGACCGCCGCCAAATATAAACGGGAACTGGACAATGTGGCAGACAGCGTGGAACTTTTAACACTGGACAAGGAAATGGCCGAAGAGCGTCTGGAGACGTTGCAAATGGAGCTGGAGATGGCGCAGGAGCGCAACGATGAGCTCAGCTTGGATCTCGAAATTCTGCGTGCCGAGCAGGAGCAGGGGCACAACGATGACCAGTGCCTCGAGAAGACTGAGAAGCAGGCGACGAATACAACGACGTTGCAGACAACCGGCGAGTTTCTGCGCCTGGAGCAGTATAACAGGCGATTGCGCGACACGGTGGTTCGACTGCGGGATACCCTAGCGCATGAGAAGCAGCTGGCGCAGCGCGCACACAAGGAGCTGGAGACGAAGCTCTCGGAAATTAATGAACTGAAGAGCATCAAGGAATTGCAGAGTCGGCGCGTGGATCAAATGGAAACGCAGCTCATGGATCTTAAGGAGCAGGTGGATGCCTCATTGGGTGCCGAGTCTATGGTAACGCAGTTGGCCACGCTCAAACTGGAGCTAGAGGAGCGTGTTAAACTCTTAGAGGACGAGGTCTCTGAACTGGAAGCACTTGAACAAATCCAGGAGCAGCTTATTGAAAGCAATCAGGAACTGGAATCGGACTTGCGTGATGAAATTGACAAGCTAAGCGGCCAGGTTAAGTCGCTAGAGCAGCAGAAGAATTCCGCCTTGGAAAGTCTCTACGATCGTGATGTGACCATATTGAAGTTCAGAGACCTGGTGCGTCAGCTCCAGGAGCAGCTGCAGCTCAAAACAGACGGCGGGAATCTATCTATAGAGGATTTTAGCAGCGCCAATGAATCGCAACAGGAGGAGACATCCCAACAAAGTCTGGCGGACTACCAGCACATCTTCAGTGTGAGTAAGGCCTATGGACGCGCACTTGAACAACAGCTTAAGGGCGTGGAGCTGCGTCTCGAACGCCAGCACTTAGATCATGTGCTAGCCTTTGTCCCGGAGCAGTTTCTGCTGCGTGGCGGCGAGCACGATGTGGTGCTGGTCATGTTGCTGCTGGAGCGCATGAACGAAAAGCTGGAGATTGTTTGCCAGGCGATCAATGAGAAATTTCCAAATGCCTGTGAATTCGGTAAGTACTATTCCATGTCATATATTCATTTTGACCATATGCTTCCAATTGCAAAAAAACCATATTTATTTATCTAAACGGAAGCTTTACAAATCTCACCCTAATCTTTGTGTTCTTTATCTAATGTTTACTTGTCATCCATTCCTTTTTGCTCCTTTAAGAACTATTTTCTAAGTTTATTATTATTGTCTCGAATTCTGATGCACCTTGTTATGCAGGGTATCCGGAACAGTTTGTGTCAGGCATAGTTGGGCGAATAAGTGTGGGGAATGGGTGGGAACAGAGAAGTTTATTTAGGCAACATAGTGCAGGCAATCTCGTGCTTGATTAATTTATAAATAAATAATACACCAAACATAATTCTACAATTATTTGAAGAGGAGAAATTAATCACTTATCTACTGGAAAATAATGTCAAACGCACACCAGGATCCTAGTTTAATCCACGGATGGCAAATAGCAACAATTATTTATGTACAAATACAATTTTGTCTTCGTAAATGGAATATTTACCATGGAAAAACTCAGGAATATATCGCAGAGGAGCTAGAAAAGGGGACCTTGCATCTGTTTTAGATTGGTCAACGGATCGTTAAACTCGCTGAATAATAGCTTTTTTTCTTTGGAAAATATAGACTTCTGGGATTTGTAGGCGTCGCCAAAATTGTTGCCTTAATCAATAACATCTTGACCAAATCCACCAATACTAAGTTTATTATTATCATATATACATGAGTACAAATCCGCCATGGATAAAATATTTTTAATAAAAAGTTTTAATGTGTCTTAAGCATGTTCTGTTCTCCGTCACGATATGGACTATATTTAAGTGGATCTATACTTGTTATCCTGCCAGGTCGCGATGCCATCTTTGAGGGCTATTCCGTGCAGCGCTACATCTTTCGGGCCCAGTGCATTTATTTGTTGAAGAGCCTTCAGCTAGTGCTTCAGCAGTTTCGCCATGGCCTCAATCACTGTGACTATGAGCTGTGCACACATGCGGCCATTTATCGCATGGATCTGGAGTCGCAGGAGCAGCAGCTGGACGAGTTTGTACGTCTGTTAAAGACAGGTCAACTGGATGAGCATACCAATTGTGAGCCCATACGCCGTGTGCTCCACTACATCAATGGATTGCATCAGAATCTGATGCCGCCACAGACGCTGGTGGACCTGCTGGACGAGCAGCAGCTTTATGTGGCACTGATTGAGGTCTACGAGGCGGGCATGGATTCGGTAAACGCGAATGCGGGCATGCTGCACACCATCATACAGCTGGGCGATGAGCAGACGGCCTCGTTCCACTGCATGCAGCTGCTTATGGAGCACAGCTGTTCAGCCAAGCAGAAGCTCAAGAAGCTGCAGCGCAAGCTGAGCGGAAACAAGACGGCCGCTGCCTGGACGGGCATGCAATGTGCGCGCTACCAACGCATCCTGGAGGCCAACGAGGCGCTGGGCGCTCTCATCAGCATGCTGGGCGTGTCGGCGCGCGAGGCCACCAAGGAGTCCAATGGTGGCATTGCGCACGAAAAGCTCTGGCGGGTCTTAAGTCTAAACTACAGCAAGTTCGCGCCCGCTCAGGAGACAGAGCAGCGGGAACTGGATGCGTATAGTCAGCGTTGCATGCAGTTGCTCGAGGAGCAGCTGGAGGAGCTTTGCACATTGCTGGAGCCCAGAGATGTTAACACGGAATACGTGCGACATCCCACCTGCAATACGTTGCAGCAGCGCGCCGCTCAAATCAGGCGCCATTATGAGGATGTCAAGAGCTTGGAGCTCGCGGTGGCGGAGCGGGACAAGGAAATCAAATCACTTAAATATGCGGCCAAGCTGAAGCAACAGGATTATTCGGAGCTTCAAGTACGCAAAGAGATGGCCGAAAAGCAGGTACACCGTTTCAGCCAAGACTATTGCCAAACCCTTACCCAAATGGCCGACGGCATGGAGCAGCTGGAGCAGGCCATGCTCTCCAAGGAGGCGGCCATGCAGCACGCCCTTAACGTACTAAACGACAAGCTGACCACTCTGGAGCAGGCCCAGCAGCATTGGCAGCAGCAGCAGCAGGTGGACAGCGCCTGTGCCACCAGCTCGACCCGCAACTGCAATCGGGAAATGAATCTGATGCATCAGGCACTGCGTCAGGAACGCAAATTACGCGTCCAACTGCAGGGTAATGAGCTGTGCAAAAACTTTGCCGCCCTGGAGCCGCTGCATGTGCCGCAGCTGGAGTCGAGCAGCGAGCTGGCCGCCCTGGAAGCCCAACTGCGCCGCTTGAAAAACGAGTGGCTGCTCGCCCATCTGGACTTGGGTCCTGGCGGTCATCAGCGTCGCTCGCACATAAAGCTGGAGGGCAGCCGCCTGTTGCGACATATCTTCCAAACATATTGCACAGTGAATCCGCATCGCGCGGCGCCCACAGATTTTGGGTTCTTTATAAGCGACGATCTGAGGCGCGCGTTTTAGGCCAAGTTAATAAAGTATTAGACTCAAGTGTATTACGGCGAAAACAAAAGTACATTAATGTGATTTGCTGCTTAACCTATTAACTATTATTATAAAGTTCATTTTGTTTGTTAATCGAAAATAATTAAATTTGCAGTAAATAGCGAAAATATTGAAAAAACATTAACTGCTTATCCTATTAAAAAGGGGCCGCTCTCTGGTCATCCTTAACATATTGCTATAATTTCTAATTAAAAGTTACGCTTTTTATAATTTTGGCCTCTATATTGAGAAATTGAAAAATTTGTAAAAATTCAACATTTTTAAACACAAATCAAATTTAAACACTATGAAAATTGTAATGTAATGTAATTTTGATTTCGTAACGCCCAACTAATATCGGGATTCCACTCATTCCTTATATATCAAAAATTTCCACGGAGGTCCCGTTCCGATCCCGTCTCCAATCGGAATGTAAATGTTTGAGGAGTATTATAAAGCCAAGAATTTCTTGTTAAAAATGATCTCAATGTCGAGCGCTCTCGACTGTAGCGTTCTTAAATGTCGTTTATTCAATTAACAATTTACAATTTACACAATATATACACGTATAGACATAAGTATGTATATACACATCTGTGAAAACGCGCAGTTTAATGAGAAAGAGAGCAGTTCAAGCAGTCCAATGGGAAACGCTTATCACATGAGCAAAAAAGAGATAGAAATAATGAGTAACGATAACTGGTGCAAGATGGCGGCTCTCTTGTTGCTTGTCGTTGCTGTTGTTGTTGTTGTTGTTGTTGTTGTTGTGGGATTTACATAAATATGTTTAATGTTTAATGAGAAGAAAATTGAATCGTAGGCTATTTACAGTTGCTGGCAAACAAAACAAGTCACAGATCCGTTAGGGTCGCTGTAGATATATGCAAAAGATTGTGAGTTTAGTGAAGCAAAGAAACTTATCGATAGTTATCGAACTTACCTCACGACTTGGCTGCTGTCTGACGCTTGGCCACAATTTTACCCTGGTCGCGACTGTTAATGACCTCGGCATGGAAACCCGTCTCCCAATCGGCATAGTATTTGACGGTGCGCACATTGCCATCGGGCTCAACCAATGAGTACTCGCCCTTGACCACATCGCCGTCGCGTTCCTCGCGCTGATGCTTGTTATCGCCCGTATGAGGATCGTTTACCGCATATTCAAAAGCGTAGCGCGGATGCGCATCCTGTCAATCAAACAATTTACATGAAAATAGGTGAAACAATGCCATTTAACTGGGACCTACAAAATGCTCGAGATGCTTCTCCGGCAAAACCTTTAGCAGCGCATGCTGTGCCACAGGTGCGGACTTTAAATAGGCAGAGGGCGATAGCGGAGCATGAGCGCTCAGTGCTGAAACGCTGGGCGCATAGCGATTGAAGCCAGCTCCAAAGGGACCAATGCCAGATCCATGGCTGTAGTCAGCGAGTGGAGCCCCCAGATGTGCCAAACCACCAGTGGCATGGGCTAAAGCCCCGTGATAAGTTAGTGCAGGTGAGACGGCGCCATGACCAAGTGAAATGGCGCCATAATATGAGGCGTCATGTGCGCCAGCCGAACCCAAGGCTAATTTACCTGTAAAGTGGATACGGAATATTATGAAAGTGAAAAAAAAGGCAGGCATCTGGATAACTTACCCGCATTAATTCCATAGGCCGTACTGCTGGCATAGCCGTGACCAGTTGCTGGTGCCGTAGTCAACTTGGTGAGCAATGCACCACCTGCAGGCTTGGACAAGTATTGAGTCGAGAGAGTGCCGTGTCCAGTGGAGCCATAGCCCAGGCCCAGGCCCAGGCCCACGTCCAATCCCAACTTGGATGCGGAATAACCGTGACTATAGCTACCAATTGCTGGAGCAGCGGCAACAGTGGCTATCCCTGGCTTGGACACATATTGATGGGAGACAGCGCCATGACTTGAGGATCCATAACTGCTGGCCACTTTGGTGATGCCGTGTCCAGTGCCTGCATATCCCAAGCCGATTGCTGGCGCTGCGGCAATGTGGCTAACGGCCGGAGCTGAGTAAGTGGCCACCTTGGCAATAGCTGGACCAGATGCGATGCTGCCAATCGCTGGCTTGGACACATATTGATGGGACACAGCACCATGGCCTGATCCACCATAGCTAGTGGCCACTTTTGTAACGACAGGCTGGGCTGCATAGCTGGCAATGGCCGGAGCAGCGACAACAGCAGGCGCAGCCGGCAAATAGGTCTTGGAGAGCGTGGCTCCATAGCTGGCTAAAGAAGGAGTACCATAGCTTGCAATCTTGGTGACAGCAGGAGCTGCTCCATATGTAGCCACAGCGGGCTTGGAGACATACTGGTGGGAGACTGCGCCATGTCCAGAGCTGCCATAACTTGTAGCTACTTTGGTGATGGTAGGAGCAGCTGAGTAGGAGGATATGGCGGGTGCTGCATAGCCGGCAATTTTTGAGAGTGCTGGACCAGTGGAATACGTAGCCAAGGCTGGTGCCGCATAACTGGCCACCTTGGCAATGGCAGGAGCCGCAGCTATTGTGGCCACAGCGGGCTTGGAGACATACTGATGGGAAACAGCGCCATGTCCAGAACCGCCGTAGCTGGTGGACACCTTAGTGATGGCAGGAGCAGCTGAGTAGGTAGTTATTGCGGGAGCACCATAGGTGGCCACCTTGGAAATTGCTGGAGCTGCGGAGATTGTAGCCAATGCGGGCTTGGAGACATACTGATGGGAGATGGCGCCATGTTCAGAGCTGCCATAGCTTGTGGCAGGCGCAGCGGAATAGGTGGCCACAGTTGGGGATGCATAGGTGGCCACTTTGGCAATCGCTGGAGCTGGAGCAGGATATGCGGCAACGATGGGCTTGGATATGTATTGATGGGAGACGTCAGCAGCTTGGCTATAGGTCGCCACTTTGGCAACTGCCGGAGATGTAGAGTATGTGCTGATGGCAGGAACAGCATAGCTGGCAACCTTGGCAACAGCCGGAGCAGCTGCATAGGCAGCCACTGCGGGCTTGGAGACATATTGATGCGAGACGGCACCGTGTCCGGAACTACCATAATTTGTGGCCAATTTGGTGATGGTCGGAGCAGCGGAGTATGTGGATATGGCTGGAGTGGCGTAGGTAGCGACCTTGGCAATACCTGGGCCCGTCGAGTACGCAGGTGCAGCATAGCTTGCAACCTTGCCAATAGCAGATGCAGAGCCATAAACTGTAGCTGGCTTGGAAACGTACTGATGCGAGACGGCGCCGCTGGAGTGCACGGAACCGATGGCAGGGGCACCATAGCTGGCTATCTTCGTGAGGGCTGGCCCAGTGGAGTAGCTAGCTACAGCGGGAGCAGCATAGCTTGCAATCTTAGTAATAGCAGGAGCTGCTGCATACGTAGCTACAGCGGGCTTCGACACATACTGATGGGAGACTGCGCCATGGCCTGAGCTGCCATAACTGGTAGCTATTTTGGAAATAGTCGGAGCAGCTGAGTAGGTGGATATGGTCGGTGCTGCATAGCTGGCAATCTTTGAGAGTGCTGGGCCCGTCGAATACGTAGCCACTGCTGGTGCCGCATAACTGGCCACCTTGGCAATCGCTGGAGCAGCAGAAATTGTGGCCACAGCGGGCTTGGATACATACTGATGGGAGACAACGCCATGTCCAGAGCTGCCGTAGCTTGAGGAAACTTGAGTGATGGCTGGTGCAGCAGAGTAGGAGGCTATGGCGGGTGCTGCATAGCTAGCCACCTTGGCAATCGCCGGAGCAGCGGAGATTGTAGCCAAAGCGGGCTTGGAGACATACTGGTGAGAGATGGCGCCATGTCCAGAGCTGGAATAGCTTGCGGCGGGCGCAGCGGAATAGGTGGCCACAGCTGGTGCTGCATAAGTGGCCACCTTAGCAATTGCTGGAGCTGCTGCGGGATAAGCAGCTACAATGGGCTTGGAAATATATTGATGCGAAACGTCTGCAGCCTGGCTGTAAGTTGCAACCTTGGCAAGTGAAGGGGCTGAGGAATACGTAGAGATTGACGGCGCCGCATAGCTGGCTACCTTGGTGAGGGCAGGAGCCGAGGAATAAGTGCTAATAGCAGGAGCAGCATAGCTGGAAATCTTGGTTACAGCTGGAGCAGCTGCATAGGTAGCCACGGCTGGTTTGGAAACATATTGATGGGATATAGCGCCTGAGCCACTAGCGCCATAGCTGGAGCTTAATTTGGTGATAGCAGGAGCAGCTGAATAGCTGGATATGGCGGGAGCACTATAGGTGGCCACCTTGGCAGGTGAGGAAATATATTGAGTTGCAATAGCGGGCGCTGCCGGCAAATAGGTCTTGGAAAGCGCTGGCGCATAACTGGCTGCGTAGCCCGTGCCGTGTGAGGACAGCAGCGATGATGTAGTAGCTAGCTTCAGCGCAGGAGCAGGCGCTGCATAGCTGGCCACCTTAGCAATAGAAGGTGCGCTATAGGATACTGAGGGCGAATAGGTGGCTATCTTAGCTAGACCTGGTGCCGCCTGAGCGTAGCTGTAACCCGGTGAGCTGTAGGTTTCAACTTTGGAGAAGCCTGGCGTGGCCTTCGAGTACGTATAGCCCGGTGAGGTGTAGGTCTCCACTTTGGTGGTCACTTGTGGCGCGTAGTAGCCCGAACTGGAAGCGGAGGGCGCCGTATAAGTGGCCAACTTGGAAATGCCTGGAGTTGAATGACTGTAGGTGTAGCCGGGCGACGAATATGTAGACACCTTGGTCAAGGCCGGCGACGGCGGTAAATAGCCACTGTCCAGCTTGGGAGCAGTCAGCAATGTCTTGGTTAAGGCTGGCGAAACCAAATTCTTAAGCTCAATGCCCGATGGCACCACAGTTGCATATTTAGCAGCTGGGGACTTATCGGCATAAGTGATGCCAGCTCCACCATATGACGCCGAGGGTGTAAATAGCGACTTCTGTATAGGCGCCACGTACTTGTCTATCTGGGTTACACCACCGTGCGAATAACCCGAAAGCCCCGCGGTGGATTCGTACGAAGCAGCCGCGCTGCCAACGGATGAATGCAGCAGTTTGCCATTCTCCGAGTAGCTGGAAATGGCCGGCGACTGGCTATACTTTGTTACGCCAGGTGTTATGGAGAACTTGACTTCGGCCGGTGGCGCATACGAGTAGCCAGCGGCGCCGTTAGCATGCACGCACGGCACAATCGGTGGTGCAATGGTCGGTGAGGGCTCAGCCAGTGCCGAGCTGAGCAGTAGGCTCAGCAGCGCAATAAGTCGGAGCTGTTGGCGTTGGAAACAAAACAAGGTGAGTTAACAGATAGATATAGCTGCTAAAAACGGAATACAACATATTCTATTTACATTTATATTAACATTTATCATTCAAAGCAAAAAATGCATTTGAAACCAAAAGTTCTATTATGCATGCCCAGATAAACACTTTTATGGTCAATCAAAATTCTAAATTTCTTGAAACATTTATCTCAGCTTAACCAAACATTTTGATTATTTTATTTGTCTTAAAACAATATTCGCCCACCAGAATAAAACTGATGGGCTAAAACAATTGAAATTAGAATTATTTAGAAAAGGAGAAAGGATCTTGATGTGGGAAATAATATTAAAAAAAGGGAAACAACCCATAATAGACTTCCAGGTTGCTTAAGTCCAATTTATAAATTTGAAATATAAACACCTGCCTAAAATCTGTTATATATATAGCAATAATATATACTCAAAGCTGATACCGTTCTATTTAAAAGTTGATCTTTAGATTCAATTAAACTCAAGAAACAAATCTCCAGAGTCCGAGCACGCAAATGTTTTAAACTATCTTTGAAGAAAGCCAGTCGACTTACTGTAATTATTAATTTGTATTATTTTTCTGACAATTCCAATTCTTATTTTTTAAATTAATTTCCCTGTTCCACTAATTTCAATATTGATCTCGAGAGAAATTCATACTTCTGTTTAAATAAATGTATTCTATAGTTTTTTCTAGCCACATTTGCAAATATTTCTTTGTAAAATGATATAAAATTTTATTTTTAGTCCTTAAATTCTGACTGCGTGCCATATCCTAGCTTGGCACACTTGATTAGGACACAGTTTACAATTAAAATATCCATATATATCCTTTTTAGACTTGAGGCATAATTATGTTCTTGGATTTTGAGCTGTTATTTAAATATTTGTCTATAATTTTTTCTGGGAACCCACCTTCATAATTTCACTTATGTTGCACAATTAGTTGGGGTAGTAATAAACGTTCTGATATAGTTGGGCGCACTATATAAACTTTATTTTATTATGAATTATAATTGCTTGAAAAAGAATGCACACGTTTGTAATCCTTGTTATAATCCACCGTATCACGATGAATGTCCTTTGAGATATATGTGCGTATACTTAATATCGTTTCTTAACGTATTCGAACTTTCGGCACACGGCACACGCAACGCTCGCTCGATGTAGAGCAACGCGGCTGACTGTTGGCCAGCCCGGCCCTATAATCGCTTATATACGTTCGGTCAGTTTTGGCTCACACGCATGCGCAGCAGCCACGCACCAGTTTAGCGACAGAAAAATCAAACACACATACACACACACAAGCAAAAAAAAGCGAATTGGAAAAACGAGCAGAAAATCGGCAGCAAAAAATATTGAAGTTAGGAAAAGCGAAGTCAAGCCAAGTCAGAGCTCAAAATCTGCGACTGTAACGGCCTGACTGCCTGAAGAAAAATTGATGACTGCTCGACTGCGCAGTTGGCAGCTGGCAGTTCTCTTTTGTTATGGGCTCTCTCGCGGCAACCTGCATCGTCTATTTGGAGGCCCCACCTTCGCGCTGATCTGGCTCTGGCATTTTATTAGATCATAGCAAACGCCTCGGCTCGAAATCGGCTCAAAAATTGCGCGTGGTGCGTTTTTGCCCAGTTCTCTTGGTGGTGGCTGTTGCTGTTGCTGCTGCTGCTGCTGCGCCTGCTGCATTGTTGGCCAAGTATTTTTATTTTTATTTTTTGCATATGCTTTTAAAGCGACTTAATTTGATTTAGATTTTAATCGCGACCATTGCGTGTAGCTGTGGCAAAAAAATGCAAGCCAACTTTAAAATTCATACGCAATTTGCTCGCCAACCAAAAAATAAAAAATTACAAACTTGTGGTATTAATGTCGCTATCAATAAATTTTGTCTCTGTCTGTGCGTGCCTGGGGCCTTGATTGTGCATTAGTTAGATAAAAGGCGCCATATTTATGCATGTGTATATGTATGTGTATATAGTGCATAATAGAATAACCCGCGATATGACCAAGTGTTGACTTGTCGGCAATTAAGGTCACTTTTCTGACTTTTGTGTCGCCGCGTTTTAAAACGCGCACAATTCGCACGCGGGTGTGTTCGATAACTGTCGGGGGTATACATTGTCTTGCAAATGACCAAACAAATAGCGTTATGGCCAGTTAACAGGCTGTATGAATGGTTTTTATATACGCTTGCTTGAATTTAAGTCATCAAATATGCCTATCACACAATGGAGTGCATTCTGTCTTCTTTCAATGCAGCCCAATTGGTTAAAAGCATTTCTTCCAGAAATTTATATATTTAATTATATTTTTCTTGGAAATAAAGTTTAGCCTTTGGGTAAGAATAATGATTAAAGATTAGAAAGCATAGAAATATTTCTGGGTACAAATGCAAAGTACATTTTAAATAAAGGATCCCTTGGTATTATTATTATGATCAAGTTATAGTTTAAATCATATTCAACTCCTCTATGGGAATGAATATTTCATCAATTTTTTTTGAATATTATTTAATGCTACTAAAGTTCGCATAAAATAAGATAAATATTATTTCAAAGCAAATGTCCAATTCAGGATATGAAAACTGTCAATTGTGAGCCCACTGGCTGGCGTAGTCGCATTTTGATGCCAAAAATTCAAATACGAATCAAATATTGTTTTTAATTAGCTGTCGTGAAGTCGCCACAACACATTTCAACTTCATGTTGCCACAGTTGGCAGATTTTGTCCCTGACTTGCGGCTGACACCACATGCCGTGCAAATCAATTAAAAGCGATCCAATATGAATCGATATAAAATCAAAGCGATCTAGGCAGACAGACTGACCATAAACAGACCACGGCCGCTTACCTGGAAAATTGATTGAGCAGCACACGCGTTGACATTTCAATTAGAAGTCTATACTGGCCCCGACTAGACCAGACCACATCTGAGCCGGGCCACAACGGGCCGGACCACACTAGGCCAGACCAGAAGGAATGCCGATTCCAGTTGTCTTGCAGCGATAAACCTTATGGACCAATTAAGTATTTCGTGTCATGATGTGATTTTTTATCGCCCCAAATGGAGAATAATACGCATACGCAGTGTACATCGAGTGAAAGGCTGTCGTTGGTATTGGGATTTTTGGGCCTGTTAATTGAACATGAAACATGTTTCAGCTCTGGCTGCTTGCTCGACTCTTAGTCTATCTGTCTGACTGTTTGGCGTTTTCTTTTTATTTTACCTTTATATATATATATATTTTCTTTTTTTTTTTTGATTTTCGGGTTTTCGCAATTTGATTGAATTTTAATTTTTGCATTTGCAAACCAATACGAAAACTCCAAAACTACAAACTGCAAACTCCAACTGCTAGTCAGCTGCAATTTTAACCTACTTCGGCTGGACTGGTCGAGTTTAGTTCGTCGCGCATTTGTCACACACACGCACTGAGCTCAGGCCGCGGGGCGTTACGTAATTGCCAACGGGCAGGCACTTGGCTAACACGGACGGCGACTACAGCTGGCCATGGCTAACACATACGACCATTGCCTACTTAACATCATGACGAAATCCGCCTGACAACCGCAGCCTGCTAATACTCTTGCCTCCGCCGCTGCCGCTGCTGCTGCTGCTGCTGTTGTTGCTCCTACAGCTCCTCCTACGTCTCGGCGGCTGTTCCACCCGCCGCACAGCATCAATTTTTAATTGAAAAATCTAGATTTCACTTAAAATTTTCACGTCGATTATTTTACATACCCATATGAGCCCAGCTTTGTAGCGACCTGTGCGCATGTGCGCATGCATGCGTGTGTGTGTATGTGTTTGTGTGTATCTTTGTGTGTGCACGCGTCTATCTAGATTGTTTGTCGCTCATTGAAAATCGAAATGCATGTTGTACATGCCGCGTGCGTAAACATTTCAAAATTTGCCAACACATATTCATAAAGTTACAGATTTAATACCGCCTGCCTATTTGCGCAATTGACGATCTCGAATCTCTGAAAACCCAAATCTTGAATCTAATTCTACACGCATCGAAAAACTGAACCAGTTTTAAAAGTGCAAAATCGCTATAAAAAATGCTGAAAGGCCGAACGGGTTGGGTGTCAAACTCTCTATGTATGTGTGTTAGTGTGGGGCGTACAACACTGCGTATGCGTGTTATTTTGCCGTCAACTGATATTGCGAGTCGCGCTAATAGCCGCAGGATTGACTACAATTATGGCCTAAGGCAGCTTATGCTCTGTGTTTATCCACCTTGGCTTAGGCAAACGCCTTACCAACACGTTTTTCATGCTGTGAAATGTTTGCCTTTAAATTATATGAAACAACTAAAATTGTTTGGCTGTTGTCGTGTTTTAGAAAAAATTGATCGTTATCTAATTGCATAATTTTTGTACCATAAAATCAAGTATAGGGATTTACAGAAATCGTTATTTCTTGTTTATAACTTTATCATAAACATTTTACCCTCTTTTGAAGGTTCAGGCAGTTCTTTAAGTCCATACATAAGTCGAAAAGCATCTGACACTGAACCAATTTTGTTCGAAGCAAATCTTGTCAGTCAAGAATTTGTACAAATATATAATGGCCAGCAAAAGTATTTTGATACATTTTTCAATCAATCGCTTAATTGGAAGAAAAAAAGTGGCCTTTGCTGATGCTTTAAATAAAATAGGGTAATATTGGGTAAAAGATGATATTTTTGTTTGTGAAATTCCAAAAAATACTTTCACTTCTTCTGTTGCGATCAGTTTTTAAAGTTAACCAGATTAAGTTGGTTTTGTGTAACATCTGGTAATATCTATTTATACATCCGTGTTGAAGTTAAGTCTTAAAATTTTGTATATATACCAGCGTCTACTTGAAATTATGAGCTGCAGCTTTTTAGCAAGTGCCAGCAAATGTTGGATAAGTGATGTTCCCATAAGAAGCAAAACAAGATAAAGCCCACTCGCGCTCACTCAGATATATGTATTTCGACTACAACGTATTTAATTGTTTTAAACTGAAATGTTGCTGCAAGATAGGCCAGAATATGTAAATATATTGCATGAAAACACAATATGAACAAATTGTGGGCAGGCAGGAAATTGCTAACAAGCAAAGTAACAATCAAAAATGATTTCTGATTTGTGTTTGTCTATCTGTCCGTCTGTCTGTCTGTCAGTCTGTCGCCTTGCCCAACCTCCAAAAGTCAACTGGGTAGCTGGAATTGTGAGCTTGCGATTATGCCATAGACATAGCATATTTACGATTTACGATATGCGATTTACGTAGACAACCATAAATTAACACCCGGCCATTTGGCAGGCGGGTGCATTAATTATTCTAAGCCGCCAAAATCCAAGCGATTTGGCAAGAAACGATGCCAGGCAAACGGGCAATGAATTCAATGGAATTTTTAAAATTGTCTCACATTTGTTTTACCAGCTAATTGCTCGACTGCAAGACTGAGTTGACATTCTCTCTGAATCTTGCCAGCAATCTCCAAATCCTTAATAGGCGTGCGTGTCGGCTGCAAAGATTTTCTAGCTGGCAAACCGGATCTCAAGTCTCGAGAGTCGACTGAGTCATAGCTCAACCGTGCTCAGTCGTTCAATGTCGCCTCGTCGCAGGCGGCGCCTAATCTAGAAAATTGTAAATTATTTAATTGGGAGCGTTGGGGCAACGCCTCTGCCTAAAATACACAGTACTGAGAATTTGTTGAATTCAATTGACTTTTAGACATTTCTCACGCGTCCAAGTGCGCGTTAAGTGTTTCTTTTTTTTTTACACTTTGCACACATTTGCACATCAATTGTGGATCAACATTTGTATTGATCTATGCGAATTGAGTAACTGGTTGACTCCAAAATCGGCTTAGAATGCTGTTCTCATCTTGGCCGGCTGATGTGGGAGCCATTTGCATATTAACATATCTACATATACATGCATACATATATTCAATCAATTTTTTTTTTTGAAATGTATAACGTGGATGGTATTTGACACGCCACATCGACGCTTTACATACTGGTACCTAGTATATAGTGCATTTATAGATCTGATACTGTATCTCAGACAAATTGAACGCACTTTAGCCCAGTCGAGAGTAAAAACCAAGTCAATGCCAAAGTTGCTTAAATTGACAAAAAGTACTTTTAATTAGAATACTTGGTACGTACCAAGTACGACCATGCATTCGCCTCAGTTGCATATATAGCTGTCTATTGAAACTCGTTATCCGAGATTAAGTTAATTGGATTAGCCAGCGGTTAGCTGGCAGTTAGAAGCCATCGCAGGTGGGCAGGGTGCATTTGCAGCAGCAGCAGCAACAGCAGCATTTCGCATTCAAATGCTGCCTAATTTGTGTTAATTATGACAAATGTTTATGACACTGCACCAAAACTGTGGCAATCATGTGCATATATAAATGTACATATATATGTATATGTATAAATGAACCTGCGAATGCGAGGTTCGATTCAGCACTCGTGTGTGGTTGACCAAATGCAAGGCTACAGCCAACAACTGGGCCAGTTGTAGTCCTAGCACATTTGTTGGTTGTGTTTGTTGTGGCAATTGAACTACATTTTTGCCGGCCTCGGGCCTGAAAAATAAAGGCAATTCGGCCTGTCCTCAAAAATTCAAAAAATAAAGTAACTATAAAGCCCGAAAGAGTAGAATAAAGAATAGTCTACGTCAAATAATGGCCAATATCTGAATATCGCAGACAATCTCACGACTATCTCGAAATATCGAAGCGATTATTTGAAAGAAACGTCTTCTTTGCCCATTTCTATTATTCAAAAAACCTTTTAAGATTAATGCAGTTGTTAAATTAAAATAATGCACAAGACAAAATCAAGTAAAATTGTAAATACGTAAATATCAAGAGTATTCTACGTGCTGTGCCTCGAAAATAGGGTGAGCAGGATCCATAAATTGTTTTTATGTAAAGAAATTCATTTATTTAAAACACAATAACTAAACAATAGCAATAAATTAGGCATAAATAATATAAAATTAACAAATATAAAGGAAACAGTTCACAAAAATCACCTCACCAATATAACATCGAAAAAATCCGCTACACTCCCTGCAGATTTCTATAGCTGGCCGCTGCAAACTGATGGCCCCTGGCATACATGGGCACCATGTGCTGTTTATCCCGCCGCACCATGGACTGCACTAGACTAGCGGAGGCGGCGCCCTGCTCATCGTCTGAGATCTCTTCGAACTCATCGTCGTCCAGCACTTGGGGGAAGAGTACGGGGCCAGCACCCTCGGGTCGTGGTGCTCGTTGATGGGGCGCCAGTGAATTGGCGTGCAGCTTCTTCGGCTTACGCTGGAAGTAGCTGGCGTAATCGGGACGGGCAAAGTTTTTGGATACAGTTTTGTACTTGTAGTGCTTGAGGCCCGGCGTGGTGTGCACAACCTTCTTCTGGTGTATGTGATTGGAGATGGGCTCTGGACTTTTGCTGGGTCGCGGCTTGGAGGACGCATAGTTCGTGTGTAATGACTGCAGAGGCGCGGCTGGCTTATGCAGATAGTTCTGAGGCAGCTCTTTTGGCTGGTAATGCTCATAGTAGGGATGTTGATACGGCTGAATTGTGCTATAGTGTGGACGATACTCCTTGGGCTCGTTGACAATCAGCGCTTTCCAGTCGCTCTCCTGTACGGGATAGGTGGGCTGCAGCTTTTGTGAATAGTCCTCCAGCTTATGGGCAGCCGCAATCTCCTTGTAATAGTTATCCCTCGCCTGCTGCAGACGATTTCTGATGTCTGGCTCCAGTTCCATGGGCACTTGCTTTATTCGTGCATGCGGCTTGAACTCGATCAGGCTAGGTATCTTGGGGTGGGAATGCGTCAGGTCCTCAATGGGCTTCTTAAGCGGCTTTATATCGGAGCTCAGCACAATGTGCTCCTGATCTTTGCTATAATGATTAATTTTCGACTGTGAGGTATCATCGTTGACACTACTTTCACCCTCGGGCGTCTCTGTGATCGGATGCGAATTTGCGCCAACGGTCTTTACGATGGCGTTGAAACCCTTTTTGGCATCCGCTGTATAGTGCACTGTGCGTATGGAGCCATCGGGTTCGAGTATACTATAATGACCCTTGACACCGTCGCCATCCCTTGACTCCCATTGCGACTTAACATCACCAGTGTGAAGATCCTTGACTCCATAGCTAAACGCATATTCTGGATGTTCCTGGGTGAGCATTGTTTATAAAATGAAAAATAAATCTTGCAAATTTATTTAATTCTTATAAATAAGTAAGGTAATTAATAATATAAATATAATAATATTTTTCATATTATTGCATTGATTGTTGACAGTAGAACTTTGTCAAATGCTTATCTATTACAAGTTATGTTCTTCTGATTATTCTAATGTATTTTTTGCGAAAATCTCATTCTTTCTCTAATCCGTTTAACACTTATTTTTTTCAGGGATGTGTTTAAAAATGAAGTGTAATAGTGTAATAGTGATACGCATAATAAATGGATGTGTATGATGAACAACGTTACCCCTCCCACAAATAGATGCCAATGAAATAACCGTTCCGGTGTATATTTATATTTGGGTAAGTGCATATTTACTTATATATATATATATATATATATATATATGTTAAAGCCAATTCAGGCCTAGGCAAGGGCAATCTCCCTACTTAATTAAGATTTCTAGGAGAGTTTTAAAAATATATGATTTTCATTTTGGGAAATGTTTATGATAAGTAGAACACCTGTTCCAGTTAGCATATCTTGGAATGCACCTTTCGGGGAATATCAAAAACTGTTTATTTTTATGTATTATATATATGTATAACAATTTTTCTAATATGCCTTAAAATGCGTTGACCACACCTATCGAAAACTACAAAAATAATAGACACGCACTGGTGCTCTAATACTCCAAAAGCTGCCACAAAAAACCTCTAGAATTTATATGTGTTCACGACAAAAAAAAAATAAAATGAAATAAAATAAACGCCGTTTTGGCTTTAAATTGTGTCAAGGTAAAAACGCGCGCTGTGCACAGTTTGAAAGCCACTGGAGGCTGGGTTGGGTTTGGGCTAGTCCACGTCTATGTATTGATCTTTTGATCTACAGCCGCCATCAAGTCAAATCGCATTTAATCATTAATTAAATATTTGACAAAAAGTGCTGTTTTGGCTTTTAGAAAGCGAATAAAACAGCCACTTAATGCATTTTCTTATAAAATGCGCCATTTTGATTTAGAACTTTCCAAAGTGTCCATAATAGCCATTAGCTTTACATAAATACGGTTAATACAAATGTGGAGAACTGTCATTTATCTCTGTCTGTGTAATATTTGTCGGTTGTATTTATTGGATTTTTTTATCTTAACACCTCTGTTGAAGCGGAGCAGGGGGCAAATCGCAAGAGTATTTCACATGCCTTGGCGCTGGCTTCAATTAAGCGCAGACGTCCATAAATGGCCACAGTCGTGTCCAGGCTGCAGTCCACTCTAGAGTCTACAGATTCGAGTATCGCAGCAGTTTCAGCAGTTGTTGTTGGCTGGCTATCAATTTGCTTTTGCTAGCTGTCGCTGTCCGCCGAAAACAAATGATTACATTGCGAGTGCGTAACCTGAGCAGCCAAGGCTTGCGAGAAAAATATTGTTTTTAATCAAAGCTACTTTTTTGGGTGCTTGGCCATGCCTGGTTGCATAAGTGGCAGGCGGAGCCAGCCAGCTAGCTGTTGTTGTTGACCACTGGCCACCCAGGAGTCAGTCGCTGGCAGTCGCTTAGTTATGAGCTGTGGCCGCAGTTGGTGGTCGACAGATCGCCTTATTGCTGAGTTGGTGGGTGCGTGTGAACTTTGGCTCATAAATTGTGCACGCAAAGAGAATTTATGATGGCCGCAAAACGCAAATGCGCTGCAATTGCATGTAAATTTCGTATACGCTGTGTTGGCCGTGCGCGTCAAAGTGACAACGGGACAGATCAGACAGATCGTGGGAGAGAGCATACAGTCAAATGAAATATTCTGATAACTGACAAGCAGACAAACAGACTGAGTGACTGACTGGCTGACTGTCAGACAGGCTCTGGCTCGAGCCGCGCACAATCCAAGGCGTTGCAACAGGCGGACAGCTGAGACAAACAGACGGGGGGAGCGACAACTTGTTGCAGCAGCACATGAAAAACATTTTAAAATGTTAAACGCGCCTTGTCAATAGCTTTACAGTTACATTGAAAACAATTGTCTCCTTTCGCGGCCTTCCCATATGCGTGTAGGTGCAGCAAGCAGCGTGAGTTTGCCTTATATGGCGCCAGCACTCGAATGCTGCTGATCTCTGTTGGCTGATGCCTGATCGTTGATCGTGTGCTGCACGCAAAACGCATTTTCGGCTACCTGCAGCCTCTCCTCCCGTCAATGGACACAGCAAAAAAAGAAAAAGAAATAATGGAACAGACCAGGACAGCGCCAACCAGGCCAGGCTGGGCCCCACCAGATCAGCTCATGCCACTTCCAAGTTGATTTATGTGGGCGACGATACGTTACACACAAAAATGTCTTGTGGGTGGGGACGATCATAAAACGCATGAACGAACAACATTCACTTTGAATTGCTGGCAATGGCGAAAAAATGCGTTTGCTGCACTAAAAATATATTTTGTCGCTAGTTGAAAGACTTCAAAATTTGCAAATATGTGAAGGGTATCCAAAGCTTGCAAAGTGATAAAACAAAGCGAAATATCAACAAAAATTCTTGATGAAAATGGGAAAACTATTTTAAATACTCACAATTAATTTACTCTCAAAGCACAACCAATTTTAGATTTATGCGTGATTAGTTTTTAATGAGATTCATAAAAATATAATAAAAAATATGTGACGCTTTCGAACTTTCGCAATATACTCTTCACATGGGATTAAATCTCTGTAGTATCTAAATTATTTGAGGCTGATTTGGGTTAATAATCCAATTGCAGCCCACTGTGCGTGACTTGGCAGTTGGCTTGAGAATTTCGGCAGCCATATAAAGATACCATTAGCTGCTTATGCACAATGTAGCGTGGTGTGTGGGGTTTGAGATACTTACAAATTGTGGAGCATATTCCATCATTTCGTCATCATCCGCTACGACGACAGGTGCGGCAGTGATTCGTTTACAGGCCGCTGGGCGAGTCCATAGGCTGACCGCAAGGAGCGCTGCGAATAGCAGGAGACGGCAGCTGGTACAGCGGGTCGGAGGCGGCTGTCTCGTTATCTAAGGCATTTAACAGAAATATGAATGTGCGGTTTTTATCAGTGGAGCGCTTAATAAATGCAACGATAAAACAAGTTGACCAACAGCCAACAGTTAATAAATTGGCTACAAAATTATTACGCGAGCATGGGCCAATTAATTGGCCAAACAGGCAAACAGCCAAACGACGCGTGTTCAGATGCATTGGGACATTTCTCAAGTAACGGCCAGTACGGGCCTGCCACGGCACAGTCCGGGCATGTCATACAGCGTTGTGACAGTTGTCAAATGGTAATGGTAATACGCATACGCCTCGCTGTCCCCAAAATTAGGCTCCGCCAGACGCACATTTGTATGTACGATGTGACAGCAATCGCTTGAGTTTGGAGATTGATGGTTTTGCTTAAGACCAGTAGCTTGGATATCGAAACAGGTCTGGCAGGATGGCAGCCGACGCCACGTACAATTCAATTCAATTCAATTTTCAATTGCCTGTTGCCAATTGCCGTTTACAACTTGTAACTGATTTTTTTTGCTTCTATTTTTTTTCTGTGTTACCAGTCAAAGAAAAATTGCAAAATTTTTGGACAATTTCTTTGGCTTCAGCCACGATCGGCATGTGTCGTTTTCGCCCAGACATAGTTTGGTTTTGTTGCTTCACGATGAAACCTGGCTAATTAGTACAGTTGTGGTCGCACCAAAGACAGACACTTAGTTAGAGAATATATGGATAATAACGCAAGCTAATCGCCAGCGTTTAAGATACATTTGTTAAGACATGTCTGGCATTCGAAAAGAATGCGACTACATGTTGTGAACAAATTTGGCTTTGATTTTTGGTCAATCGACAAGCCAGCCATAGTTAAATTAAAAATCCACATACAAAACTTTTTAATCCAGGATATGTTTCAATCGGGAATAGCTTGCAAATTTAGAGTGAATTAAATCGTATAACTGCAAAGTATGTCAAAAATTTAGCTTGGTTTTCCAAAACGTAATTTCTATGAATTAAAATTAATATGGATAATGAAAACATTAGAAAACTATCCACGGGATTAGCTCTGATATGCCAACAGAGAGACCTTAACAAGCTGTAAAAGATTTTGTCAGCTGGAATTTAGATTCTTGATAACATAAAAGAAAAGTGATCTTTAACTGTAAGGGAAGTGTATTAAGAATTGCCGTAAAAAAATTAAAACAAATTATTATTGGTCTACTGCTCAGTTCTAGTATAACAAACAATAGTTAACTCGAGAAAACTGTATGAAGTAAAAAACTTTCTCTTCAACGGAAATTGAAAATTGCAGTTTAAGAAATATATAAAGTCGCTTTTCAATTTGTATTGCTTCATTTTTCTTTAAATATTTCACATTCGTATTCGTTGTTGATATGCTCGCATATTTGCAGTAAGAATCAATGTTTATTTGCAAAAATTAAATTTTAATGTATGCTGCAACTGCAATAGTTGCTAAAAATGTGGACATTTGCATGCGCTTTGCTTTGTTTACTGCACTACTTTCACTTTTGGGGGTGAAAGTTTTTGCTCAGCACTTTCGCTCTTTATCGCAGCCAAAATTTGTTTGTGTCAGTGCGATGGCAAACAAAACGCATTTGCCAAAAAACTATTTGCACTTACATAAAAACGCATGGCTTCTATCAATATATAATTTTCTATGAATATTTTACTTAAAAATTACACAAAATATTGTTCACGTCACACTAGCGATTAAAATCGCACGAAAAACGCGTCGAAGTCGCTCGCTGCTCGCTGCTCGTCGCCTCACTGGTTCAATGTCAAGGACAAAAACGTAATTAAAGCGTTTGCGCGACATTGCCAACGTATTTATAGGCAGTCGCAAACGAAGACGACCGGCACAGCATCAGGCAGTGCGCATGGCCAAAGCGCCAAACCGTTTTCCCGGCGACAAGATTTTCCGGCCCAACTGGTTCCACAATTGTTGTCGCTGTCAGCTGAAGAGATCTTGCCAGGCGGCTGCGATGCGCCAATGTGGGCTGCACTGCAGAGCAGAGCAGAGCAGAGCACACAGTATTGCTTTAACGAACGCTTCCTCAGCTCCTCAGTCTAATTGACAATTATATGAAAAACTCAGTCGCTATCTGTGGCCATGGCTATGGAAAACTCGTTTTACGCTTCGCTATCACCAGGCAGCGGCGTCAAACACCAATTTGGCTGTCTCCACTTTTGGTTTCAGCTGCGCCGAGTAAAAGTCGTCGGCTGCAGCTGTTGACTGGCGTTATAAAATTTATATCAGGCAGGATTACGTTTGGATTTAACATAAATTAATAGCGATTGGTTTGCGAATTTGCCAGCAAAGTATCTTTAACGCTAGCCATGGGAAACTAACCACATTCAGTAAAGCTGTTGAAGAACCTGCTGTCAGTACAGCTTGGCATTACGCTTAGTTGGACGCATAACCAATGACAGAAATCCTCTTAAATAGACTTTAAGTACCCTGAAATATTTATAAAAAAAAATACAGTTTAACTATAATTAAATGACTAGTTTTAAGCTGCAAACAGAAAAACAAAGAGATTGCGTTGAGGCAGTTCCCTGCCTTAAAGTATTCCTTCTGCTTCTTGTTTTGTTTCAAGCTTTGTTTTGTCATTTCAAAATTGTTATAAAACCAATTCAAATTCTTATTAGACAATTGCGCGTTGTTCTGAAAATATTGCAGCCCATGAATATTTTCATATACAATATGCGCGCTACATTTTGATATCTTCCCAAGATCTATTAAATATGTTTAGCTAAATGAAATGATTGGGGCCTAGGATATTAATGCTTTTGGTCGGTTCGGCCAAAAACCATCTCACAAATTTTAAAGCTGTGTTTTTTTTTTTTGTAATTATCATCTAACCATTAAAGGTCTCAATTATCTAGTTCTATATAATAATGTGGGCATTTAGCGCTTTCTTAAAAAATACTTTAAAAATGTTGAAAATTTAAAGAAATAACTGCTAACAAAGATAAACAAAAATGTTTCTCAGATACTTTGTGTGTTTATATTTTAATACAAAATATTATTATGAATACTGTATATAGCTTATTTGGTCTTCTGTAAGGTATGCATCGGTATTAGTTTATAATTACGTTCAGATCGGTCTGTGTTCATATATTCCACTCATAAATTCTTCCTATCGGCATTTGCTGTGGTCATCAGGTTCTTAATGGAGCTGCTTTACACTCACATAGCTGCTGGCATGTCCATGTCCATGTCCGTGTCCGTATCCATGATCGTAGCCACCATAGTGTGCGACATCGTGTCCGTAGCCGGCACCATAAACATCACCATGTCCGTAGCTCTTGTAAACCTGTGGATGATGGGCATGTCCCAGTTTCTTGACCACCGCATTGAAGCCATTGTGATCATCGGCGGTGTATTCCACGACTCGTGTCGTACCATCTGATTCCTTCAAAGAATAGCTACCGTGCACCTTATCGCCATCGCGTGACTCCCACTGGCTCTTCTGATCGCCCGTGTGCGCATCCTTGACACCATAATCGAAGTGATACTTGGGATAATGATATGGCTCATGTTTATCGTAGCCATGTCCATAGCTTGCATAGCCTAAGCCCAAACCCAAGCCATCATATCCATAGCCGGCATAGCCGTGATCAATGTGTCCGTGTCCGTAGCTCTTGTGCACTGGCTCCTCGTGCTTGGTCAGCACGCTGTAGCTGGTCGCATGTCCATGTCCATGCGGCGCCGCCAGACTCAAGCCCAGAAGTCCGAACACCAAAACCCCACAGAACGGCTGCATTATGGTTGAATATCGTTTGGCGATGTAATGACGTCTGTTGGTTCTTGGAGGTGCCACTGACCGTTTTTATAGCACTGCTTCGGCCCATCGGGTGGTCTCTCTCTCTCTGAGCCAGAGCCATTCACCTGCCTTCGATTAGCTAATTAGTTGTTTATAATTGTAGCTTACCTTTGCGCGTTGAGCTGCATAGAAAATGTAATAAATTATTTGTAGACCAAACACTATAATTTCATTGTTGAAAAATCAAATTGGAGGGCGCTTGTCTGTGGGTTGAACTTTTGTTAGTAGTATTATGAAAAAAGAATGCAATTATATCGAAATAGACTTAAGCTGAAGATTCTAAAAGGTTCTATTGCATGTTTCTATATTCTTATTGGTAAGATAAAATGATTATTGTTTCGGGCTAACAAAATCCTTACAAAATTATTTCATATATATAAAAAAGATTGAAGCCAGTAAATATATACCATAATATTGTTCTTTAACCATCTTTTTACTAAATAGTTGAAGTCAGTAATATTCAAAATATTGCATAGTCTTAATTATCTAAAGAGCGTTAAAAACTGACAAACTAAAAAATGTGAATGTTGTTGGGTTAATTAGAATGGGACTTTTTATTCTGTCCTTCAGCCAGCTAACGAGCCTATTCTTAATTCATTTAATCTGAAGCACTCCCTTTTTATCAACCAATAAAATTATGAATCAGCGCCCATAACAATTAATCATATTTTACGCTCAAAACAAAGCGTTTATGGAAAACATTAACAGGTCTTTAGTTTAGTACTAATTCGGAAGCGTTAAGCTCAGAGACACCCCTCCCTAAGCATTATTAAGCCCCCCCTCCCCCCTTCCCTATTGCAATGCGTCTCAAGGTCGTTTGAAGCTTGGGCTTTGGCTAGCGGGGCGCAAAAACACTTGTAGCTTGGCTTGAAAATGCAGCGAGCCGCGGCATTTGTAGTTTTTGGTCAATTTGAAAGCGGGCCACACTTGTTGATTGATTTCTAAAAGCGGCTACAACAACAACAACAGCAACAATAACGAATGTTGAAGCGTTGCCGTGTTTTTGGTCTGTTGACGCCCCTTTTATTAGTTGTTGCTGTAGCTTTGGGCCGCTTTTAATTGGGCAATGGGCATCAGGCAACATATTTATGAATACACTGTGTGGAAATGGAAAATTTGCACAAATATTTGAAGTGTTTTTCGTATTTTGATATTTTACTTATGCCAGCCTATTTAACCTCCAATAACCCAATTAATGAACATGTTATTTCGACGAGAATGTTCGGCTATAAAAAGGTCTGCGAGTGTTCGTTTGGCATCACAGTTCCAATTGTGTTTTAACTCAAGCAACAAGCCAACTCAGGTCCACATTTGATTAGAAATGGCTCAGAAATTGACTTTGGTCTGCTGCACATTGCTAAGCATTGCGGCTGCCAGCTACATACCTCATGGTGGCTACGAGCATGGTCACGGCGTGGGTTACAGCATACAGACGCATCATGAAGCGCCCAAGAAGTGGCATAGCCATGAACAGGAGCACCACTGGGCACCACAGCAGCAGCACTACTATGTAGCTGCGGAACCACAGTCGGTGCACTGGGCTCCACAGCATCATCATGTGGCAGAGGAGCCGCATCATCATCCCAAATACCAGTTCGACTATGGCGTCAAGGATACCAAAACGGGCGACATTAAGCAGCAGTGGGAGACGCGTGATGGCGACAAGGTCAAGGGTGGCTACACCATGAAGGAGGCCGATGGACGCACTCGCATTGTGGAGTACACTGCCGATGACCACAACGGCTTCCAGGCGGTTGTCAAGCACATTGGACACGCCCACCAAGCGGAGCACAAGTCCTACGATCACAGCTACTACGGACATGGTCATGGGCATGCCACCAGCTATGTGGACGTGAAACAGGATACAGACAGCAAATGGTGGTAGACAATAGACGAATGATAATTATTGATGAATGGTTCGAAAACGCTCCTAAAAAAAACTTACAAATAGCAAATACGCCAATAAATCAAAGAAAACGCATAAGTTGAGATTAATCTAATTAAATGCGTTTTGATTCTAGTAAAAATATAATCTACACAATCAACAATTCTCACATCATATAAATAAATTAATTAAATTTCTTAAATTCGTCTTTTGGGCGTAGCTTGAAAGTTTTAGAGTCATTGGCCAATCAGCTCAGTTTTCTGTAAGCAGTTCACTGCTTTGCTCTGACTATTTATTCTCTTGTGCACTGCTTGTCACGGTGACGGCAGTTAAACAAAATGCACTGTTTGAAAAATTAATATAAAAAATAGCTGTTAAATTTTGCTAACACTTTTTAAATATCTGTTTTTTTTTAAACCTTGCGAAGTTGTTAGTAAACAATCTTTGTCTCATGAATTTATGCCTAAGAGTTCACATAAGTACAAACGCAGGCCAGAAATGATGAGTTGCTCTTTGTTAATTGAATACACACCTTAAACACTCTTCCACTTAAACTTACTTCCAAATCTAATAGAAAACTTCGCAAATTAACTAAAAATCCAATTAGGCCACAGCCTCATGCAAATTCATCAATTAAACATTAATTTATGCTGTGCAGCAAAGTTTTGCGGTCACATAAATCTGCAAGTGTTACGAGACCGCAAGGCAAAGATTTCCTTGAATCTGGCATCTGGTCAAACTGATTGAAGCGCCGAAATGGAATAAGCTTTTAAGTCCAGAATAAAGCGGCCTATGTAAATGATGGGTTGCATTTATTGGCTACCGAAATTCCCACCCATGATAAGCGCTGAGCTGTTGACAATTTGGGCAGGGCTCTGGACCTAGATAAGGCGAACTCGTATGTACATATATTTATTTGCCTGCTATTCGCATGTGCGAAAAAATGAAAATAAAACCTCACCATTTTGGCTCATAATTTGCCTTCGTACTTACGCTTGACCTATCCTACCCTTTGCTGCTTTATATGGTTTCATTAAATATGCAAATGAGCAATGGAAATTGCGGCTGCCTCAGCGAAAAGGATAAAAAATTAAATTGGGAAGGTGAAAGCGGCCAGGTGATTTTGCAAGACAAACGCATACCCTCATGGGCTGAGATGGCGGATACCCATCAGACCAGCCGTGAAATTTATACAAAGAGTTCACATTGCACTTTGTTAGTTTACGTGAACACCCTAACAAAAAAGTATTACACGTTTGCCTTGGAAGTTGTAATCCATAGAAGTTTGAATCCTTAAATCTTAGGAAATCATACAGCAAGAATTTTAGTCTACTTCTTTTGGTTTTTCTTAAAGTAACATTTGGAATATTATTTTTTCTTGGGCCTCTAAAGTTTCACATTTGAATAAGATATAAATATATAAGAAAAATTCATCAGCTTCATAGATTTCGGAAAATCTTTCAAGTTCGAAAAGTGGGCGAAAAATGGTTCATTCCAACCATTTGTATATATGAATGTGTACATGTATGTTGAATTGAAAATGAACTGATATTGAAATTCAATATTGCCCTACTATGCGATCGTCACGAATTCAAGCAGTTCACGTTTTTTTTCGATAAGAAAAGGTGTTTTATTTCTGTTTAGGCTGTATTGGTAATCTAATAAACCTTATCTCATTTTCTCCCATAATCACATTATACGCTAGTTAAATAAACACTCTCTTTAAATTTATTTTTCTCTCTCTCTCTCATCAAATTTTGTTTTTCTTCCTCCTAATCATAATCTAAGCCGCTCTTAATTCTTTTTATTAGAAATGTGTATAAATAGTCGGTCAATTTTTGAAAAGAACATACATAGTATACAGATTTGATCACAATGAAATCATAGATATAGTATATGCTTTTTTGCTATGAACAATTTGTTGTTCGTTTCTTCATACGCTGATGTAAGGGTATACAATTTTCGTGAAGCTGCAAACACCTTTCGCTGTTTTGTTGTCCGGAGGGGCAACTGGGATACGGAGTTACCGAGAGAAAGAGTCGAAAGTCGAATTAAATCGCCAAGTCCGAAATGAATGAAAGCAGCAAGAGATGGAATAAATGAATGAAACGAAATGTAATGAAAACGAAGGCGACGTTCACGTTGAAAAGTGCAACGCGTGGAAAAACGGTTGCCCTCTTTCGGGTGTCTTTGCCTATGACAAAAATAAGAAAAAAAAAAGAAATCATGAAAAAAGAAACAGAAAAGAAAAGCAGCTGCAGTAGCGGCCAAACAGAAAGTTTTGCCTGATTTCGGCGCCGCTCAAAGTATAATAATGTGCTGCTGCTGCCGTCAACGACAACTGCAACGACGATGCTGCAGTTGCAGTTGCCTCCCAAAAAAGTGGGCGTGGCCATGGGCTATGTAGCATGCGGCTTGTGCCGCTTCAAGTGCACACTTTCTCATGGCTTAGCACTTTGCAGCATAGTTCGTTGGTTTTTGTAGTGGCTGGGCGGGTGCGTTGAGGTCGGGCGCTGAGATGGTTGCCCAGCTTATGCAACAAATAATTTAATTTTATGCTGCATACAAAAAGGAGAACTGGCTACAAACGAACCAACGAACGAGCCAAACGAACCAGCGCAGGGCGACAACGGAAATGCCACTTTACGGCCTGTTTGACGGCGAAGTGGACGTTAAGTTGTGAATATGATGACGGAGATGAAGGATGCAGCGACGATGATGACGATGATGATGATTATGATGATGGCGGCGTCATGAGCAACAAGCGACAAGCAAACTGAAATATTGCGCATACGCCGCCTGGGACAGCGGAAAATCGCTGGCAATGAGGTCGAGCCGTAAAACTGGGCTAAATGTCGGCATCAACAGACAAGAAGTCAACCGGATGGGGAATCGTTTGTTGAGTGTCATAAAAACGAAGGCTTAGACATAAAAACAAATTGCAGCAATCGAGTTGAGCGAATTATGCAATAATAAATTTACACATACAACGCATATGTTTCACATAGCCTATTCAGATCCCAGCTGAACTTGACTGAAGTAAGAAAGTGTGACATAAGAATGCGAAAGACGAACGCCTGCTGGAACCCATAAAATTTAAATAAATGTATTAAATAAGTAAACTATGCAATTATTTTGCAGTGCATTTAACACCACGTCCAATTGTTTGATACATCTCATCACCACAATGGGATATTTGTTGCCTAGTTAGAGGAAGAAGTTTCATGAACCACCCTGTTTTTCAGATATTATCAGATATTATTACAACTTCAATGAATGGATTGGTGGGGAACGAATTTCAAACCACAGAGAAGTTCGTCTGCGAATGTTGGAGCAGACATCAATATTGCTCGAAAATCAAAAGGGAAAATAAGTGTTCCCCCCCTTATCTATGCCGCATACTTTTCTTCAGCCTGCCCTCGTATAGATGTACTCTCTTAGCTGAGTTTTTTTTATTAGGTATAAAAGCTCATAATTTCCACCAATAAGCACATTTGGCTTATAGCCCTCACAAATTGTTGTGCCAATTCTAAAATATCGCCAGTCGTTTTGTGGCATTTTCACGTTTCCTTCCATTCGCATTCGCATTCGCATTCACATTAGCAATGTTTATGTTGGCTTCTTTTTTTGGTAATAACAGCAGATGTTTTAACCACAATTAAAGCACTCGAATGGCCGCAAATGTTGGCATTGAGCACGACCTTCGAGCGAATCTCAGACTACACTACATAAATACATATAATTTGGCTTAATTGTGCAAAATAATCATAATTTTTCTGGCAGGCCGGCCACAACAACATGCAGCAGCAGCCCGATTGCTCTGACGGGCGAAATTTTTGGTTCGACTTCGGTATGGGTGGGGCAAGTGTTGACCTGCTTTTGTTATCATCAAAATGTTTGCCAGCACATGTGTGCGCAAAGTTTTCGCCGCTGTCGACACATTAAATGAAATTTAATTCCTGCTGCCGTCATAAGCAGGCAGCAGGCAGCAGGCGGCAGGCGTGTTTGGCGTTCCGGCAAGGACAGCAACTGGACGGGCTTAAAACGCAGGCGAGAAGCCAAGCCAGACCGCCAAAAACTGTAGCCGATGTGGCAGAACCTGTTTCTTGCCTCATGTTGGATACTCAACCACTAAACCAAACTAGCGTCGAGCCCAACCCAAGCCACCTACCCTAGGCCTGGTACGTGTTATGCCAACATTTAAATGTTATTTAAGGCTGCCCCAAAAAGTGGCCTGGCCACTGCTGCTGCTGATGCTCTTCTGCTCTTGTTGTTTGCCGGTGTTTTGTGTTATATTCTGTGGGCGTGGCACACTCATAAAACGTCGCACAGTTGTTGCAAAATTTGTGGCCTCATCGCTTGTCGTTTGTTTAAAGCCGAGCCCAAAATGACCACAAAAAAAAAAACAAGCACAATTTCACGCTCATCTGACTAAATGGTTTTATAGCTTTAGATATTTGCTCATTTGTGTATGGGCCGAAATACGTTGATATTATTGCCATGTTGTTGCTGCTCTTGTTGTTATTTATGAGCGGTCAGTTTTCGTAGCCAAAATATGCTCAACACGCAGCCCTCCCACCCATCTATCTCTTTGCTTCGTTAGCCCTTTGCCGGGGCAACCGAATTCATAAGCCAAGCCAAAAACCAATCATATCAAATTTGTGTAGTCTACTTTTGGGCTCGTCGGCTGTCTGAAATGCTTGCGTTGGCTATATTTCTCTGATTTTTTCATTCTTTCCATTGCTTTTATTTTTTGGGTCTCGGGATTTGTATGTCTTAATCATATTTTATGTTTTATATTTCGCGCTTCAAGTATTTGATGGGTGACTAGCAGAAAATCAGGATTTACTTTTTCAAAATGTTAAAAAAAAGAAGCTGTGTGAGGTGGCTGTGGCTAAGACACATAATTTGTGGCATTATGCTGAAGCCGTGAAGAGGCAGCTACATGAGCGGGCCATGTCGCTGCGGGCCAGGTCAGGACACACAAGAGATATGTGCGGTAACCAATTAGT